CTAACTTGGTCTCCATTGTGTTACTGTCTCTTAGAAAGGAGGACATTGAATTTTATCACTTGCCATGCATTTTTCTGAAACATTATTCATAAGGCAAAAAATGCAAAGTGATACCACTTTTAATGACTTTTGATTTTAATTATTTATTGGTAATGTGATAGGATTACCAGTGGCATTCCCTAGTGGGCAATTATCCTGTTTTCTTTTGGCAACTGATCAAGTCAGCAAGAGCAAATGGGACAAATGCCCACTTTTGAGGGCGGGGGAGTTAGGACGCTGGGACAGGGCTTTAAAAAGGGACTGTCCCCACCAAAATGGGACGTATGGTCACCCTACCAATGACAGGGAAGGACCCTCAGTCTATCTCTTAGCCCCTGTAGGTAGCTCAACCTTGCCATGAGGATTTCAGTATCTCTATCTTTACTCCTGGGAGAGGAAATAAGGTTTATGTCCCTTTATGGCAAGGATGTTTGGTAGGGGGGCTGGGCCCTCCCACTCCACTAGGCTCTGACCCAGAGCCCTATGAGAGGCAAACAATGTCAGAAACCAGGAAATGCCTGGGCCACTTCCTACCATCCCCAGCCTCACAGTCCATTTTAAAATATCAAAGGAAAAAATCAGGGTAACTGAACCTTCAGCCCGGCGGGTCTCAGCTGGTAGTCTCTTCCTCCCAAGCGGAGACTTCTGTGGCAGCATGGGTCAGGAGTTCTCTGGGCAGATCTGTCCTATTCCCCCATCTCAGTTGTTTGGCTACATTTTTAAGCTCCTTTCTCCAGCTGGAGTGTTCAGGAGGACAGTCACCTGGGCCCAGAACTGCTCCTTACACCTTCAGTTCTATGAGTCTATGAGACTCTCTTTCCTTATGTATGCTCTGCTTTGCAGTAATTATTTTAACTTCTCAGTGCTCACTGGAAAAGGTCCTGCCTCCAACGGGCATTTTAGGATATGGAGCAATTTCAATTCTGCCAATTTCAGTTCAGAAACCAGAACAAGAGTTGAATTGGAAACCTCGTGTAGCGAAGGTGTTGTACTTACAGTATAGTCCATTTTCTTAAACGGAAATGCTGCAGAAAGGAGGCGTTGGAGAGATTTTATCCACCTCGTTTTCCTGTCTGGAACACTACATAAGCTCTCAGTTCACTGGGAGCTTCTGATCAGATCTTCACTTATTACAACCTATGTTGCCATGATTTCTAAGAAAAAATCAGAGGACTATGGACACTAGATATTTCTAGGAAAGAAGACTAAGAATGTGGTCATAGCGGAAACAAAAACCAGGAGGTGCCACCACCAAAATAGCTTCAGAAAAGGATGTCTAATACTTGGGTTATATTAAATATCAGCGCAGCTTTTCTGTTGAGGGAAGATGGGTGGTGGTGGTGGTGGAGTTGAACTGTAGCATTTAATGTTATCATTATATTAATTATATTATATTTATATTTATTTTATAGTATACTGGTCTTTTGAGACCTTTGCAACAGTACTATTTTAAAGTGCAATAAAGAACTTTTAGTGCACACCAGCATGGTCTACATGGACTAATTAATGCACAACATGTTACTGCACTTTTAAAATCGCAACCACACAGTGTGTATTGCTGCTCTGTACGGACAAGCCCCTAAAGTGTGACTCTTTTTTTTTTTTAACTGATTTAGCTAAACTGGTGCAAAACCCTGTTTGCACACACATAGTTTGGTTTAAGAGGGCATTATTTTACTTTAGCTTAAGTCAATTTGAAACAGGTTTAAGCTACACTGAAATAAGCCACTCATAAACTGAAAAAGTGTCCACACAAGAGTTTGCACCAGTTACATGAAATTGGGTTAAAACCTATTGAAGTTTAATTAGTGCAATTTCTGTTTGTAAACAAGGCCTCTGTGTGATGAATCTGTACTTGTACTTGTAGGTACAGTTACTTTGGATTTCTTTAATAGGCATATTATGAAATTTATTATATAAATTATAGCCCTGAGGTGTAGTAGAATGGTATGCTATTAAGGAAGATGATGTAGCAACAGCATTGTCTACTGCAAACTTTATGAAAAGTTCAGGAAAATCATGACATTGTGCATACCATCTTGGGGAAGCATAGCTGAGGTATACTACTGAGTTCTCTTTTGGCCTTGTCCCTCAATATTTACTTTAGCACAACTGTTCTATTCAAGGACACTCATTAATATGCAAGAACAAAAGATTTCCCATGGAGGATACTACACTTTAAGAAGTTATCCTCTCTTAGACTGGCAGGGAACACAGACATTTGAAAGGACCTTTTCTGCAGAATACACATGAACACTGGACAACCCAGTCAACTTCTGAATAAGGACCATATTGCAAAGAGATATATCCTACAGCAAGATCCAGGTGTTAAGTGACAATGAAGTGTTGCTTGGAATTATTGTATTTATGATCAGGAGTCAGAGTTGTTGGAGAACATCATATAGGATGGGCCTGTTTGCTGCATTCCTCTGTTGTGCGCTGATGCCTTGGGATACCTATTTTGAGTGCATGTATCTGATCAACTACAACCAGTTGATGAGAAAAACAGCCATGCTGCTGAATGTCCATGCATCTGTGACTCCGTGAACATTGATTTTAAATGGGAGCTGTCAAGCAGAAACTCCTGAAAAATCCTATAGAGAACCACTCTGTATATTCAAGCTGAGAGACGATGCACTCATGCAGGCTGCACTATGTGGTAAAGTACACATCACTTTAACAACTATTTGATCTTTTTTGTTAATTATTTTATCATTGTTGTTTTATCTGTTCTCTGCAAGTTACGATTTTAATTATTGCTGTTTGATAGTATCACCTCCTCCTGAGAACTTAGTACTCTTGCTGAACCTATTAATAGTGCAAACTTATTTACACTAAGTTCTGTGACAACACTTTCATTCATTGGCCCTCTACTGTATTTACCCCATTGCATCTTTCTCCTCCTTCCCCATTTGCTAGCAACTTATAGACTGCTGCTCCCTTTAAAGAATGTACCTCTCAAACAAGATGGAGGAGGGAAATAGAGGTGACTTGATACTGGTATCTATTGTATTTCTATGTATTTAATTATTTTACAGCTTTCCATCTTTCAGTATTTCTTTCCTCTAAATCTAGTGTAACATGCATTCTGGTAGCACACCTCACATAATATATATACATATAAGCAAACCAGAGAAACCACTTTAAACACTGTTCTTTTAGTCTTTTCAAATAAAAACTATTATACTTGCTATAAATATATATAATTCTAGAAAGAAGCATATGATGTAAAGAAAATCATACAGGCAATCCCTACAAGTCAAAGCATAACTGGTCCATGGTGATAATGGTGTACCCTGAGACAAGTAAAACAGGGTCCTACCATGCTTTACAAGACTTGAAAATTATGTACAATTTACTTTCTTGGAGAGGTTCCTGAGATTTGGGGAGTCCTATGGTTGGAGATGCATGAGGCCATCCTGATCAAAGGGATCCTCTAAGTGCTGTTATAGACTTCTACTGACATTAGGAGCTAACAAAACATGGTTTTCTATTGGAGAATTCTGACTCTGATTGTAATCTGTAATACCCTGATGAAGAGACAGTTGTTAATGAGGAGATACCAGTGGTGGTTGAGAGAGTTCATGATAAATGGATGAATCTAGATCTAAGGGTGTTGTGGGAAGCATAAAGTTTGAACCATTTTGTCTTGAACTTTGATTGGATTAATGTTAACAACAAACATCTTTGTGAAATATCGGCTTTCAAAATGGACACTACAAATATTTGGCTTAGTTCTCCTGTCATGGCCAGTTAGTAGTGAGTCAGATCTAGTGGTCAGAGTAGGATTCCACAGTCACAAGACAAAAGTCAAGAGTCGGCTAGGTCAGGAGATCAGAAGCAGGAGACAAACTGGAGATAGAACTGGGAGTCAGAGTCAGGCTGGGTCAGGATGTCAAGGAGTCAGAGGCAGGAGACAACTGGAGGTCAGGAACCACAAGTCAGATGCCAGGAGTCAAGCCAGGTTGGAATGCCAGGAAGTCAAGCCAGGGGAGCTGGAGCCCCATTGTTCAGACAGCTTCCTGTTCCTGCTGCTGGCTTAAAAAGAGTCAGTGGGCCAATCAGCTGTTCTAGGGCTCTGCCAATAGGACATCAGGCAGAGCCTCCAAACTGGAGCTGGGCTTTGTGGTCCTAGGTAAGCAGATGTCAGTAGGCTACCAAGTGGAGGGTTGGAGCAGGGTCACTCGTATAAATCGGACCCGATTTTCAGACCCATGAGTCATGAAACCTACAAGTTCTCTATACACGGAACTTTCAGTGAAGCCAAAGGGAATTCCATGTCTGGAGGGTTTTCAGGACTGGGCTTAATATGACAAAATGGAATTTGTTTATTCACCAATCTTTCTTACTATATAGTTGATTAGATCTTTGGTTCTCAACTTGTGGGTCATGAACAGGTTCAAAGGTCACAACTCTCCTTTTCTTTGCAGCTAGATGTGGGAAGGAGGAGAGTCCTTAAGCCCATGAATTCTGAGAATTCTCAAGCTATCCCCAAGCACAGTCACAAATATGAGTGATGCAACTTGGAAAGTCAAAGCCGAATTCTGCTCAGATATGTTGGTGTATTTCTAAAACAATTCTGACTCAACTGAGTCAAAACTGGAAACAAAATTTGGCCCTCGAGTGTTAAAAGGTTATTCCTTGTCAAAATTATTTCTGAAGATGAGTTCTCTTGTATTGTTTAAGGAGAGAATTATACATAAAGTATGTCTATAAGGGGATCAGAGGATACAGTGGTACTGTATAATGGTTGTGTTATGTATACTAACAGCTTCATATGTATTAAAGGGAAACTGCTAGACACCTTCTCTCTCCATCTCAATGTTGAAATGAAATTAATACAAATAGCATAGAATTTTATTTTTTCCTTGGTGAGTTCTGGGTATTGTTGTATTTGGATAATTTTCTTTATCAGTTGGGTTATTCAAGTTTGTGTGTTTTGAAATGCATTGTTGTTTCAGGAGGAACTTCAAGGACCTGGAGGGATTCAAAGCAGGGGCTACTTTTTGTTCAGGGTATGGTTGTTATTTTTTTCTTTTTCAAACTAATTGTTAGATTGCAAAAAGTACAGTATTCAACATCTGTGAGAGCCAGGGGAGCTTGTTTCCATTGCAGCACTCATTATAGTAAAGGATCTATCTGCATTCCCATTATAAACACTTAGCATTTTTAGAGGTGCTTAGCACTTGCTACTTCTATTGAGCTCTATAGGTAAATTCTTCAGGGCAGGGAATGTGTGTTTGTACAGTGACTAGCAAAACAGGGCCTGGCTAGGGCCTTTGGGTGCTACTGCAAAAGAAATATTAAATAAAAATCAATAGGTGTTGTCAGAGCTAGGCACTTTCAGATTAGATAGTAATTGGATTGTAAATATTTACCCTTGACAGAAGTGTGTGTCAGTGTCTTGACATGGGAACATTTTCTCCTACACACCAGTTGAAAAATGTTTTTAATCTACTAAAATGGATATTCTGAGATCGTGTCTAAAACTGATTTTCTAAAACTTTTCCACCAAAAATACAGTAAGAAGTTTTGGCATGCTATCTTAATGTGTGCTGAATTGATATGTTCCCATGCTATTTCTTAATAAACTATCAATTATCATGTGTATAATTCTTGAACTAATAAGGCTTGAGAGCTCATGAGACAGACATAAGTCATCCTTGTCTACCTGGTAAATAAAAGCTTTATTCAAAATAGTATTTCTACATGTTACATATAATACACGCAGTGCCAGGAGATATATATACACAAGTAGTTTGTATTGCAACAAGATACACAATAGTCCTGATTTTCCACTTTGCTTGTATTTTGTCTTGTTATTTGCACTTCAGCAAAGTGGATGTAAAAAATACCTCCTCAAAATACACTTAGTCCATCCTAAACTTAAACTGTTAAGCCTTTTTTCTGTTTCTTAACATAATAGATTAAGTTAAGGATGACAAATCTTTCTTAATATCGACTTTCCTGACTTTTGTTGGGTAAAGTCTTCACATTTTTTTTTCTATTTAAGTATGAAGCTGGCTGGCAAATGGTACACATGTTTTGTATATTACATTTCTCTAGTATGAAACTTGGAGTTAGAGAGTTATGATTAACTGAAAAGGCCAAATAAAATTCAAGGGTAACATAAACAGTGGTGTACTTTACATGTCAGATAAAAGGTAGTCTTTCTGGGTCTGAACCAGCTCCTGTTACAGTCAATAGCCGTTGTTTCATTGACTTTAATGGAAGCTGAATCAGCCCCTCATTGAGTATGCAAAATTAGTGAAATGTACACCAGTGGAAGGGTGGAAAGGATTTAGCAAGAAAGCTATTAACAGGGCAGTGTAAAGTAAATGAGACCCTGCCAACTCTGATATACTACACATGACTTTGGCCTAGTGTATTCACAAGTGTGGTACCATTAGGACTTAAATTGTATGTCTTCACTAGCAACGTTAAAGCGCTGCTGCGGTCGTGCTTTAACGTGGCTGTGTAGTTGCGGCACCAGCGCTATAAAAAACCCACCAAATTCAAATTCTAGAGGACTAAGTAGGGAAGCAAATTCCAAAGCCAATGATGCCTCATTGACAATTCCCTGCTGCAAACCCCTTTCCATTTATAGGGGACTTTCAACTCAAGTGCCTTACAGGACCTGAACTGTACCTGTAACGCATGAGGAGGAAGACCTGGTAGGCTCTCCAATAGATAAAACCCAAACCATTCAAGGTTTTAAAGGTCAAAAACAACACCTTACAGTTAACCCAGATCAATCACTGATCAGAGAACACAGGTGTAAAGTACTATATGTTGTGGGTCTGTGTATTCTGCACTGGTAATACTAGACAAATAGCAAAGGTTTAGTCCCATTTGCAGTGCATTGCAATAATCTAGCCATGAGGTAACAAAGGTCTGGATAACCATGATGAGAGCTGTGTGAAAATGGAAAGGGGAGGAAAGAATGGAAAGGAGCTCCTTGTGCCCTCTTCTCCTCCCCCTTTACAAACTCAAACAGAACTGGGCTCAGTCTGGCCCTCCATTTTTAACGGTTGTAAATTTGCTGTATAAACAGTTTTCAGAAGTTGAAAAGCATAGACAAGTGTTCATTTCAGTATATCTTTAAAGATCATCATCCTAACTTTAACTGAGAAATTATCTTGTAAAAGATATGGTATAACTCAAGGGATTTGCAAAATGCAGTTGATACAGGATTACTCTGGGACCTTCTTTAAACCCTGGATGGTTTTAGTGTTAATTTCTTACAAAATATTTGTTGTTTTTGTAGCCACGCAATGGAAGGAGATCAGCAGGTTTCCGCTGAAAAGGTATTTATTACATATTTTTAATCAAGATGCACATCCAAATCCTGCTTCCTTTATACAAATAAACCAAGGTCCACATCTTCAAAAAATGTCCACTAATTTGGGTGCCACCACTTTAGGGTAACCAGTTTGAGATCCCTATGGCCTGATTTTCAGAATTGCTGAGCATCCACATCTCAAATTGAAGTCAATGGGAGCTTCAGATGCTTAGTATCTCTAAGGGCTTGTCTATACTTACGCGCTGGTTCGGCGGCAGGCAATCGAACTTCTGGGTTCGATTTGTCGCGTCTTGTCTGGACGGGATAAATCAAACCCAGAAGTGCTCGCCGTCGACTCCAGTAATCCTGCTCGGCGCAAGGAGTATGCGGAGTCGACGGGGGAGCCTGCCTGCTGCGTCTGGACCGCGGTAAGTTCGAACTAAGGTACGTTGACTTCAGCTACGTTATTCACATAGCTGAAGTTGCGTACCTTAGTTCGAATTGGGGGGTTAGTGTAGACCAGGCCTAAGGGTATGTTTATACTTGGCGCTCCGGGTGTGATTCCTAGCTCAAGCAGACATACTTGTGCTAGCTATCATCAGGCTAGCACACTAAAAATAGGGTAGCTGTGGTAGCATGGGCAGTGACTGGCACAGACTGGCTACACCCACCTGGACATGATGGGTACATACTCAGGGTGAGTAGCCCATGCTACCACAGCTACACTACTATTTTTAGCACACTAGCTAATGAGAGCTTGTGCTGAGTATGTCAACTTGACCTGGGAATCACATCCCCTGCTCCAAGTGTACGGTAACCTAAGAATCAGGCCATAGGTGTCTCAGTTAAAAATTTGAGGAACCCAAAATCTACGGACAGTTTGGGAAGTTACTACTTACCAGTGACAATATATGAACCAGACCGAATCCAACTTAACCTGGAACCTGAAAGTCAAGTTTGTAGAGCTAGTGCCAGTGACAGTTCGGGAGGGGATGGGACTTTTAGAACTGTAATCTGTGAAAATTTCATCCAGAAATCGTTAAAGAAGAATGAACAGGAAACCCCACAATGTCGTTTTTATAATTTTTCTGAGTAGAACTTCACTACAAATCCCATTAGCATCAAGGAAAGTTGCATGTGTATACTGAGAAGAGAACAGACCTTTGCCTAAATCCAGAGGTCCTTACAAAGACACAACTCACATTGAAACTAAGTAAGGACTTCAGGATTGGATCTCAAACGTGTTAGCTAATTGAAAAACTTCGGAGAGGTACATGAAAGATTTCCTTTACCAATACTATGATTCAGTATTTGAGTATCTTTTTATTCCCTTTATTGTATCTTAGATATGTAGAATCACATCATATAACTGTATTAACAACTAATGTTTTTTTTTTTCAAGATTTTTATTCCTTACCAGAACTAATGCTGTGGGAATGCAGAATACACGGACATAGTGTTTTGCTCACAAAAATTATTCCTTGCCACTTGTACAATTCTTAAAAAATCACTAGAATGTAAATGTTCCTAAATCAGATTTTGTTAAAATTGCCAATGTTTCTTTAATTTCTTGAGTATATTAAAAGCATCTTAAAATTATTCCATTGATTTATAGTGTCATGATGTATACCATTGTGTGTAATAAAAATGTAAACAAAAAAATTAGTGTAAGATCCTTGCATGCAAAAAACATTGTCCCTACCAGTATTGCTATACACATTTATTTTTTGTTGTAAATAAAGGCACTCAGTAGAGAGTTGTTTTAAATGCGAATGTTTTATTGAGGAATTTTCTATTTTTACATAATGCATTTTGAGAGTAGGCATTTTTAAGTTGTTAAACTAACACTGCGTATTATATTGTGTGTGTGTGTGTGTGTGTGTGTATATATAAAATCTATGCCGATTCAGAGTCAGATAGGCTTATCTCTGTACACTAGAGCACTGACTATGCTCTCGTGCCTAGATAAAGAGTAACTCCATTTAAGTCAAGAGACTTGCATCTTTGTAAAACATGTGAAAGAGGAAAATCAGACCCTATACACACATGCGCGCACACAGACACATATATACATAAAAGCAAGCCAAACTTTCCCCATATGGTGATTTTTCTAAAATGGTGCATGAAATCTCACTCTTCCAATATGATTTTCGTTGCAATGCTATTGTATATACAACTGCATTATTACAAAACAGTACCTGAAGAGCCATTAGAATAGTATGCAGTTGGAAAGAATGCAAATACTTCAGCTAAGAAAATGTTCCAAGTAATCATTTCATTCATTTTTTTAGGAGGGATGAACAAAGGAAGTGGTGCCCTTTTCAAAGAGTGTTTTCTCAACCTTGTTATTTAATTTAGATTGGCAAAATGAAACAATTTGTACTGTTTTAGAAGAGAAATAGCTCTACTTTATTTAAATTAAAATATAATCATAACTTAATTGTATTAGCTAGCATAACACAAATGCATTATGGCCCTGATTTAGGAAAACACTTATGCACATTGATGTGGAATCTCTCTCCTATGTGGAGATAACAAATACTTCCCACAAGAGCAGAGCTGGCCTCAGTCTTCATAGGCTGAATCCACATGTGTCTCAGGGTTTGTTTTCATTAACAAATTAAGTTGTGTCAGAACAAGATTTTGAGGGGTTATGGTAATTAACATAATAGTAAACATAACATCACTCAGGGTTGGTCCACACTGGGGCGGGGGATCGATATAGGAAACGCAACTTCAGCTACGAGAATAGCGTAGCTGAAGTCGATGTTTCCTATATCGAATTAAAAGTACCTACTTCGGGTCCACGCGGCGCAGGCAGGCTCCCCCGTCGACAGCGCTTCCTCCTCTCGGCGAGCAGGAGTTCCGCAGTCGACGGGGGAGCGCTTCTGGGATCGATCTATCGCGTCCAGATGAGACGCGATAAATCGATCCCAGAAGATCGATCTCTACCCGCTGAATTAGGTGGGTAGTGTGGACCAGCCCTCAGTGTTGACAGGTATTGTTGTGTTTAATATTGTGTCTACTGGTCATTGTTAGAGTTCTTCCTTGAGTTACCCACTACCTGCTGACACAATAATTAACATAACAGTCCCTGTCTACACTGAGTACTAGTTTGTGTTAACTCTGTGGGCTACAATAGATCATGAGGTAATGATCCAACCTGAGCAAAGGCCAGCATGTTGCTGAGCAACCCAGGAAAGAGATTGTGATTTTGCTAACTGGCTTCTGGCCTCCCCATTGCTTCCAGGAGGAAGTAAACTATCCTGTGTCTATATGTGGTGCAGCATACATCTGCTAATGTACCAGCACTGCTACACTACCCACTGGCCTGCATGAGGGGTAGCAGAGATGTAGAAGCTTTGCGGAGCCTTCTTCCCCTCCTGCATTTTGAGCAGTGGTATGTATAGCTGGCACAAGACAGTAAGGGAGTTATCACAACTCCTCAGGGTCATAATCTAAGAGGATGAAAGTTCCCAGTTTAGTCAAGACCAAAGTGCTTAACATTCTATTAGTTACCATGACTCCTCAAAGTCATACTATAACAAAACCTAATTTACTAGCAAAGAGATACCCTCAGAGTGATTTCCACCAGCAGAGCTCTCCTCAATCTCCCCAAATGGAAAATCCATGCTCTTCTTAGCTGGAATTTTGAATTACTTCCTGATATGGGCTGATCTCATTAGAGATTTGTTATATGAACTAATCAGTTCAAATCACTATTTATCAAAAGCCAGCATGGTATCAGAACAGATATTGTTTTTTTTACAAAAGTAATAAAACAAATATTTGGAATACATTGCTAGACCAAGTTGTTGTGAATGAATCCAATAAGCTATTTGTATCAAACAGCATAAAATAAAATACCATGTTATTTTCACTCTCTTGTTTCCTCTTTAGCTATTTGTCTTTTAACTGGCTGTGATGTCTTTAAATGGCAATTCAGCAAAAGAGGAGTGGTCTAGTTTCAGCCTTTGTATATATTTGATAAATATTTCAGACACAAATATTGTAGGCCATATTAATTCCATCTTTAGGTACAGAGGGAATAAAAATTGCTGAAAACCCATTAAAATGGGCCAAAATCTGTCTGAAATTGAGTAGCTGCCATGCTTAGCCTATTACATATATTGCTTCTTGAAGAGAGTGGTGAATCTCTTGGATCAGGTCAGCTGAGACTCAGAGGGTATGGATTCTAAGCTGTAAGGACATATTACCTGAATGTCCTGTGAATCCACCATTTACAATCAGTCCTAGTGATATAAAATACATAAAGTTACAGGAAAAGTTGCTAAATATTATTAACCACCCTTTGGTTTATGAAGAAATATACTGGAGATTCCAAATACCCATGTCAGACAGGTTCATTAATATGATACAGAAAAACGTTCTAAAGGACTGGTGCCACCATCAACCTTAATAATCAGGCAATCTACCACGTGCAGCTGTTTTTACTGAGCGCCACGGTCGCACACCCATCCCCACGTCCTTGTGTGTTGCTATTTAGCGCTGGTGACCGAGGGAACCAGCTAAATTGGACCATTAATCGCCTCCTTCTGACATAAGCCAGGGATTGTAGCCACTGAGGTCGGAACGGCGCAGCACAGAGAAAGTTCCGTTTTCGGTGCATCTGGTGTAAGGGGTCACATTATTTACACATTGACTCTCGCTATGCATTTCCACATCCACCGCAAACACACGCACTTCTGAGGGCCCTGAAAGCTTGGGGGAGCGCTGGATGCAACGGGAGCTCAGCTCCCGCGGGTTTCACGGCAGATGGATTTGCCCGAGAGGCGAGAGGCAGCCGAGCGTCTCCCTCTAGAACCCGACGGCAGGAGCTCGCGCAGCGGCCGTTAAACCTCGGGGAGAGCGCTCGTTCACATCGTAGCCCGGCCAGTTTCTAACGGCCGTGAGGACACTGATTTGAATACGCAAATAACCGTTCTCATGGTCCCGCCCACTCCGCTGTGCCTAAGCGGAGACCGTTCTAAGCAGCCAAATAACCGCTCGGGCTCGCGGCCGCTTCACACCGAGGTGCTACAGCGCCAGCCAAGGGGGGATCTGCCCTGCGGCAGGGACAGTGCCACGCGACCCCACCCCTCCGCAGGGCCCAGCCCTGACACACCCTTCCCCGGGGCCGCGAGTGGAACCAGCTGCATCGGTGGGGACAGCGAGTGCCACCCCCACCCACCCCCGTGTGTGCCATGCAGGTGAAAGCAGAGCCTGACTCGGAGAGGGCAGCCGCCGACACTGCAGGCGGACTGGGGGTGTGGGGTGAGCCCAGCTGGAGGAGGAAGGGTTGGGGTGGGAGAGCTGAGCTGAGCTGAGCTGAGCTGGGGGTTGGAAAGGGGAGGAGTGAGCGAGCCTGGGTGGGAAGGGGGAGGGGTGAGCTGAGCTGAGCTGGGGGCGAGCTAAGGGGTGGGGGTGGGAGCCACCTGTATGCAGAAGTCAGAGTGGGAGCTTCATGAAGGTGAGGGAGCTGGGGGAAGTGCAGGCCGCGTGCACCCACAGGCAGGGTTGGGGGGAAGGTGTGTAATTTCAGGCAAGGGGGTGTCCGACATGCAGCGGGGCTGTGAAGATGCTGTTGGGGCAGCTGGATGAAAAGGGTGACGCTGGGGGCTGCTGAGCAAGATGTGAAGCTGTACAGCGGTATCAACGGTGTGGACGGATTTGTATGAGCAGATGTGTGAAGGTTAGGGTGACCAGATGGCAAGTGTGAAAAATCGGGACGGGGGGTGGGAGGTAATAGGCACCTATATAAGAAAAAGCCCCAAATATTGGGACAGTCCCTATAAAATTGGGACATCTGGTCACTCTAGCGAAGGTGTGAAAGCTGCAGCCAGAGATGGGGGAAGCTGGAACTGGGGAGGGAGTGCCACAAAGATGTGGACACTGGGCGGGGGGGTAGGGGGGAAGCTGCAAGAAGGTGTTGAAGCCGTGACTGGATGGAGGAGTTGGGTGTGCTGGTTTTCAGGATACTCAGGACTATCAGTCAGCTTGTTACCCACTGCCTCTAGTTGTAGGGATTCTTGCCTATGGTGACTGGAGGTTAGCTCCCTGACACCACCAGCCTTAAAGCCACTCAGTCACCCTCCTGCAGGCTCTTCCAACCATGTCTTTGCCTTGCAGGTTAACAAGAGGTGCACCCCGGTCCCTTTGTCTGTTTGAAGCATTCCCCTGTGGTTTCCAGCCCCTGGTACTGGCTACTCACAGAAATCCCAGATTCTCTGCTCCCATAGGAGCATTGTACCCTCAGTTTACGAGTTTTGTATTAAATCATCATTCCTGTATAACACACTGCACTTATGACACTTATGAGCACTTACAATAAAATCAAAGAAGGTTTATTTAAGAAAGAACAGAAGTCCCACTGGAAACATGAGTGTGATGGAAACAAATGGTTGCAGTACAAAACAAAATAATAAAACAAGAACTAGAATGTATACTTCTAGTTAGTTACCTTTCCTATCTAATAAAGCAGCAGTTCTCATCCAGGGGTCTGGGGCTCCCTGGGGGGCCTTGAGCAGGTTTCAGGGGGTCTGCCAAGCAGGGCCGGCGTTAGACTCACTGGGGCCCAGAATAGAAAGCTGAAGCCCCAACCCCGCCACCCGGTGCTGAAGCCGAAGCCTGAGCAACTTAGCTTTGCGGAGCCCCCTGAGGCATAGAGCCCTGGCCAATTGCCCTGCTTGCTACCCCTTAACGCTGACCCTGGTTTTTATATGGAGAAAAACTGTGTTATGGAACAAGTCGGTCCTGGAGTTTTTATAGCATGTTGGGGGAGGGGGGGCGGAGAGAGAGAACGGCTCAGAAAGAAAAAGGTTGAGAACCTCTGTAATAAAGTAGGTTTTTACCCCAAAAGTACAGTCTGTGGCAGAGATAATAGACTGGATCCTGGTTAGCCATTCTCGAAACACCCCTGTACTCAACAAGCTGGCTCCTTAGTGAAGGGATACAGAGTGTCTTTCTCCACACTGATATATTGAATCAGTCTTTTGTCTTTATTCAGAGACAGGATGATCCTCTGTCAAACATTCCTTTTTTCCTCCAAGTGGATTTGATTGTTTGTAGTTGTTATGATTTTCCCTTGACAGTTCTGGGATGGATCAAGGACAGACAATTGAAGCTTGCGTTACATCACTGGCTGATCAGGAAGGGGTGACAACTCCCTCCCACTTGAATGGGCCATCAGCGAAACATATGATTCCGTGATAACCAAGTTGTACTTCAGTATCATAAGGCATAGTTTTCAATATAGTTACATTATTCCTCAAATATTACTCATATGCACATCTTGCAATGATTATGTATATTGGTAAGTTTTAAGATTTCAGTAGAGATTTCACATGCTAGCCTTCATGAGAGGTCAGGGCTTCGATAATGGTGCCAACATGAGAGGAAAGAACAGAGGAGTGCAGACACGGATCCGAGAGTTAAACCCTCGAGCTTTTTTTGTCTCATGCAGTTCTCGTTCATTGGACTTGCTGGTCAGTGATGCGGCATCGGCTTCTAGTGAGGCTGCTGAATTTTTTAATGTAATTCAAAGCATCTATGTATTTTTCTCTGCATCAACTCATCGATGGCAAATTTTGAAGCAACATCTGGGAACATCCTCTCTGACACTGAAACCACTGAGTGCCACACAATGGTAAAGTCGAGCGGAGGCGATAAAACCTATCAAACACCAAATTGGGAAGATAGATGATGCCATAGTTGCCATTATGGAGGATAATGCTATGACAGGAACTGTTTGTGGGAAAAGAGTGGCAGAGGGAAATGGAATCACCAGAATCATACATAACTTCAAATTACTGTGTGGCTTAGTGTTGTGGCATGACATACTGTTTGAAATAAATGTTGTAAGCAAGAGACTCCAACGTGTTGACCTTGATATATCTGGAGCAATGGAACAAATGGACAAAGCAAAGTCATACCTACAGTCTTACCGGTCAGATGAGGGATTTCAAAACATTCTGAAGAGTGCACAGAAGTTGGCAGAGGAACTTCGCACTGAAGCTATTTTCCCACCCATTCAAGAATACAAGAGTCACCGAAGAAGAAGACATTTTGATTACGAGGCACTGGATAATCCCATAAGAGACCCCAAACAATTCAAAGTTGAATTCTTTAACTAGGTGCTAGATTGTGCAATACAGTCAGTTGAAGAACTTTTCATGCAGCTCAAGGAATGCAGCAGTATGTTTGAGATGTTGTATGATATTCCAAAACTCCTCACTATACCTGAAGAAGACCTACACCAGCAATGCAGGGCACTAGAGACAGTGTTGACTCATGATGACATGCGCAATATTGATGCGAGTGATTTAGGTGATGAACTGAAAGCCCTTTCAAGATACATTTCAGCAGGATCAACTCCAAAGGCTGTTCTGGAATATATGTGCACAAATTAGATGACCACCCTATTTCCAAATGTTTTTGTTGCTCTGCACATACTTCTACACTTCCTGTAACAGTTGCCAGTGGAGAATGCAGCTTCTCCAAGCTGAAGTAAATAAAAACACATCTACGCTCCACAATGACACAGGAGAGGCTGGTCGGCCTTGCAACCATCTCAATAGAGCATGAGCTGGCCCAGACTGTGGACCTTCAGCAGGAAGCAGTTCAAATCTTTGCAACCAAGAGGGTATGGAAAGCACCACTTTGATTATTCAAACAGATAAAAATGCCAGTGTTTACTACGCAAACAAGAAAAGTTACATTTGCTGTTCAGGCGTTTGAAAGTTAAGTGTTACTTAAAATTTTTGAACAAGGCATTTTAAGTTGTAAGTTCTCCTTTATTGGGGTAGGTAGCCGAGCAGTACCATGAGAGGAGTAGAACAGAAAGAAGGCAGAATTGAGCCCTTTCAAAGTTTTGGCCCAAGCGAGGGGACATGGGGGAGTCATTTGAGCTCCCTGCCTCAGGTGCCAAAATATTGTGGGCCGGCCCTGCTTGAGCACCATTTCATGTCATCTCTACATGAACACAGAAGAGGAATTTTGAAGATTTAGTAGTGGCAGGTGTGTAGTAGAGGTCCATGCAACTCTCATAGAATCTTCATTGATAAATTGGAGAGGGTCCATAGAAGAGCCATGAGAATGATTGCAGGATAAGAAAACATGTCTTATAGTGAGCGATTCAAAGAGCTCAATCTGTTTAGTTTAACAAACAGTAGGTTAAGTGATGACTTGATTTCAGTCTGTAAGTATCTACATGGGGAAAAAACATTTAATAATGGGCTCTTCAGTCTAGCAGAGAAAGGTATAATATGATCCAATGGGTGGAAGTTGAAGCTCGACAAATTCAGACCGGAAATAAGGTGTAAATTTTAATGGTGAAAGTAATTAATAATTGGAACAATGAAAATTTTTGACAATTTTTAAATTAAGATTGGATGTTTTTCTAAAAGATATGTTCTAAGAATTATTTTGTGGAAGTTCTATGGCCTGGTGTTATAGAGGAGGTCAAACTAGATGATCACAATGGTCCCTTATGGCCTTGGAACCTATGAACGTGACGTCTCAGGGGGCTGCAGCCACTACTATAATCTAGCTTTTGCAAGTACCCAGTGCCCAGCCACTAAGATGAGGGAAAGAATCCATCCTTAAAACCCTTGCATTGGTTCCCATTACCAAATCCTTGTATTCAGATTTTGTACTAAGAACTACAATTTCACTCTAATGGTTAGCTGTACCACTTGAAATATCAATTTTTGTATTTTTCTTCCCTTCTTTGAATTTAGTCATTTTGTCATGAAGTCTTCCAGCTATGCTAGCAATTTCTATTAGCTTTTCATATGCAGCTGAACTGTAAGTGACGATTTAAGAATAAATGACATTTCATCTTTCTGCTGTGACTAAAAATTAGTCTGATTCATGATTTCTCAAGTGGGGTCTAAAAGCTCACGACTAAAATTGAAGTAAATGGGAAGGTAAATGACAATTTTGACTGTTGTTGCTGTATATTCTAAACACATTTAAATCCACTTTCTACCTTTAAATACTGACCAACAATGAATCAATGAAAATATCTTTAGTGTTTCATTTCTATTCTATTATCACATTTTCTCCACAAAATTTCTAGTATTGTAGGAAAATTACACTAATATTTCAGAAAAGAACAAAATGTTTTGGGATATTTAAGTTATAACCTACATAGACATAATAAAAAGCTGCTCAGATATCAGCAACTGATAAGGAGCCAAATAATGGAGCTTTATCTGTAGAAAGCAAGGAAAACAACAAGCCTAGAAGAATGAGCCAAAGTTTGTGAGCGGGCAAGGGGCAAAGCTTGAGTGGCATCTTCTCCTTCTCTCCTTCCAACTTCACAGAGGCACATATGTAAACTTGGAAAAATTCGATTTTTATTAGTAAACATAGATTTTACCACACACACACAAATTAATAAAAAAAAAAGTTTCCATCAATAACAGAAATGTACAGAAAAACAAAGTAAAAAAAATGCTGCTTGAGAACTTATTAGAGTTTGATTTAAGGATATTTACTTTGTATATTCTGACGTGATGTTGACAATTGGTATTTTAATGGTTATCAAGCTTTAACTTTTTGAATCTCAGTGTCTACAGTCAATAAATATTTATTGTCTGACCATGACCCATAATATCCTACAACTTTGAAAATTTAAATTGATTAATATAGAAAAGATTGCTTAAAAATAAAAATTTATATTATCCTTCAAAATTATATTTAAAAAAACCCACAAAATCAAAATCTGTCACACCTACACATGTATAATCTATTCACATCCGGATGGTCATAGATGGTTTCAGAGTGGGGCCTGAGGAGAGTTGTTCTCTGTACCATCACTCCCCACCAATCCCATGGAGATTTCTTCATATAGGATAATGCTGACCCTATCAATATGATCTTAGACTCACAGATTTTAAGGACAGAAGGGACCATCATGATTATCATGCACATCACATGCCCCAGAATCCCATCCACCCACTCCTGCAATAGGCCATATAACCTGTGACTGAGTTACTGAAGTCCTCAAATTTTGATTTAAAGCAGTGGTGGGCAACCTGCAGCCCACGGGCCACACGTGGCGTGTCAGGGTAATCCGCTGGCATGCTGCCAGACAGTTTGTTTATAGTTGCATGGCCGCCTGCAGCTCCCAGTGGCCGCGATTTGCTGTTCCCGGCCAATGGGAGCTGCGGGAAGTGGCGCGGGCTGTAGGACCGTCAGGGCAGGCCCACAACATTTTGGCACCTGAGGCGGGGAGCTCAAATGACACCCCCATGCCTCCTTGCTTGGGCCAAAACTTTGAAAGGTCTCAATTCTGCCTTCTTCCTGTTCTGCTCCTCTCATGGTACTGCTCTGCTACCTACCCCAATAAAGGAGAACTAACAACTTAAAATGCCTTGTTCAAAAATTTTAAGTAACACTTAACTTTCAAACGCCTGAAGCCATGGCCTCTCCACTTTGTCACCATTGGGGATTTCATGCCAGTAATGTGTTGGATGGAAACTTCTATTTTCATTGTTTTTGGGGAACATGAAGTTTTTCACTTGCTATGGCCCATGCAGTACAAGGAAGTCCCTCAGGCTACTGCTCAAGTGGGTCCACAGTCCTGGCTCATCTAGACTTAAGGAACTAAACTCAGCAGCAGCTGTTTCTTGCGCCTCCACCACACTCTTCTCTGATCTACACTTTTCTTCAGGAATGTGCATGGTTACATCCATCTGAGATGGAGATATGGATGCTGCAGTAGCTGCCAGGTCACCTGCACTCTGACTAACTGGAAGATCAGACATCTCCTCACCACTCACATCCTCACTGGGGCTGGAAGGCTCACCATGAACATTTGTGTCTATGTATCTCAGGAGAGCTCCTTCCTGCTTAGATAGAAAAGCTTCCTTTGCTTGCTTTCTTCTTCTGAATGCTGCCCCAGAGGGGCGTTTTCTTCTTTCACTCATGACTGCGGTTCTGTGCCCGCTATAGTAGCTCTCAACACTCAATTGAAGCGGACAAATAAGCAGGCTGGTAGCAGAGCCTGAGTGAGGGAAGATATCAGCGTCTTAAGGGCCTGGGCTCCTACTACTTCAGTTGACTGCCTGTTCTCCTCAAGTGGGTTCAGGGAAGCAGCAGGAAACAGGAAGCTCCCTGAGAAGCTGGTGTTAATCAGTCCAGGCTCCTGGGTGCTAGAGAGGTACATAAGAGGTACATAAGCTCCTCCTCCTCTCTCTCCTTGCAACTCCTGCTGCTTTCTGTTATTCCCTCTCACCTTTTCTCCTGCCTGCCTGTTATGTCTCTTGTGCCCTCCTTCCTCCAGCACAGCACTCCACCATCTCTGTGCATCTAGAGCAGAGAGAATACATATGCACCAGCAGCAGACACAGTTTTCTACACTCTGGGTCCTAGTGGCGCCCCCCCACAGTCTGGCACCTGAGGCTGCTGCCTCAGTTCTCCTCATGGTAAGGCCAGCCCTGTAAGGTTCTGTGGAGACTCCCTGTACAGACTCTCCACTTTCTTCTTCTTGCCTGCGGGTACTGTCTTTCTGTCTTTCTTCGGGGCTTTCTTAGATATATATTCCCCTAAGCGCTAAAGGAATGATTTCACCCTTAGCAAACTTTGAGATATATATATATTAGCATATATCTGTGGGATTTTAGACTGACACACCTTTGTGGAATGGTTTATGAGCATTTACCCAACAAGCAAAAAAATTAAATAGCATTCATTATGTGAAAGCTCTTGTGTAGTGTTCTTGTTCATATGTATTATATTCCTTCCCGGGGATTGCATGTTGGTTCAAGTGAACAGTGTTTATGAAGCACTTTTTTGTATAATCTTTTGTCTTATATGTTAAAACAGTGCTATTTATTTCCACCATAAAACTTTGTGGCATTTACAAATAAGGTAGTATATCAGAGTCAACTGTACATGTTTTGATTAACTACCTAATTTAGAAATCTGTTATGACAATAAGTGAATATTTTCTTGTTGTCCATATCTGAAGATATACATCAGTTGTCCTACTCGGATATTCCATCATTCCAAAATAAATCGCTATAATAAAGAGATGCTTCTGATAGCAAAGATAATCTCAATGAAATAAAAATATAATTTGTCAAATTGCAAGCAGTTTCTTTCTGTTGAGTGTCCCATTGATGTTGCCATATATTTTTAGAATTCCACATTCATGTGTTCTATATTATAAAAAGGAACCATTTGTCGTAGTATTTAGGGTGGCTTCTTAATGTTAATACTGATTTAAAAGAAAGTTTATTTTTGTTTTCAATTTTCTAAGCTTGATTTTACATTTCATATTCATAAATTCAATATTTCCTCCTTAGCAATCAATACAGAAGTTGTGATATCAATTCTCTTCTGAATAGAATAGTCCATGAATGTACTGCTGTCTTTTCTTTGTCCAGGCTTGGTTATAATTTTAACTTATTTTATTGTAATGTCATGCTCTGTATTATATGTCAAAGTGCAAAAGGGAACATTCTTGTTTAAACAAAAATACGGGAGTAGATTAACCTGTTGATTTTTGTTTTGTTTCATAATTTCAAAATAGGATCCAAATGAAGATACGGAATGGAATGACATATTAAGAGATTTTGGAATACTACCTCCAAAAGATGAACCAAAAGATGAAACTGAAGAAATGGTTTTACGTTTACAGAAAGAAGCAGAGGGCAAGTAAAGTTTAAAATTTATGCTCTTAATATAGCAAAGTATGAAGATCTGAGGATTCTTCAGAAACATTTATCATGACACAAAAGTTCTAACGTAATTCCACTCTTAAAAATAGAATACTTTGGTTATTTTATTTGGTAGTGGTTTTTTATTTTTAATTTTCATTTATTTGTGTTTGGTTATTTTATTCAGTGCAATATACTTGTAAAATAACAGAATAATAGCACAATAAAATATATAGATGTGCTAATAACAAATGTTACCATACACGGTATGTAAAATGACAAATCAACAATTCACCATTGGAAAAGGAAAACCTACTTTCGGATTTTACCACACAGGGTGGTTGACGTAAGCAATATTGACGTTCAAACAAACTACTGATCAGTTATCTACCCACACAGGCTGGTAAGAACAAAGGGGATCGAATCAGAAAATCAGTCTTCAGAAGGAAAATATGTCTCAGAAAATTATCTTCTTGTAACTGCTTTCCAGTACTCCAAATTCCCCCTGTGTTTTGTGTATCCAGCACTGCAAAACAAATTTTTACACAGTGTATGTGACCCAAAATAATAAGGGCAAAATTTTCAAGAGACCTCTGAATTTGTGTCCACTGCTTGGCACATCAAATATTTTCATTCCCTTTTACCTTGGGGCCTAGATTGCATGCCCACATCTATCGTGCAAATGCTTACACGTATGTTTAACTATGTGCCAGGAGGTTCAATAAGACTACTCATTGTGCTGAGTTAAACACATTTTAGTATTTGCAGGATTGGGGCCTAGGTAGTTACGCTTATCTAGTCAGCATGTGTACTCAAAGCAAAGATTTAGAGTGCCTCAAAACATCCATGTGCACAACTGCTAGTGCCAGTGTAGAGAGTGCAGGCTCAATTGTGCCCTCTTCCTCAGCCCTGTTTGATGTAGGTTTTGGGAGGCTGTCAGGAAGCTATTTACAGTTCCCTGAATCTGTGCCAGCCATTCCTAGCATGAGTTAGAGCAGTCTAGGGATCTTATCTCAGTGGAAGATTCGAGGAGTGGAGCAGAATTATGTCATGCCCCTGCCTCGTTCCCACTCTGCCTCCTCCAACTCCCAGCATGCCATTTACATTGGTGGCGGGAATGCAGCTAGTGTAGGAGCTAGCTCAAGTTGCTTTATGACACTGGGAGTTCCCCTGTTGTAAGGAGAATTCTCTGTTGGTCGCTTCTGGCCAAAATCCAAAGACTTTGCGTTACCTGAAAGATGCAAAATGGCTGGAACAAAATGGGAAATCTGAGGCTCCTATGAAAATTTAACCCCAGTACAGACATAGTTAAATCCACGAATTACCATGTTATGTTGTGACATGCTGTCTGAGAGCAACATAATATGAAAATGACAAAGCATATAAAGTAACTTATAGTTACTCAAACTTCAGTTGTTTTTCTCTTTCTTGCACAAGATTGTTCCAGAGTTGGCCAAATTTATAGGTGAGATTTGAGATGTTTTTCAAACTGATATTGCTCTCCTGCCTGCATCTAAAGATTCTGTACATAACAATGTTGAAATATGCATAGTTTTTTAGTGGACAAAAGCTGTCTAATTATTTGGCTTGTTCTTTTTAGTGAAACCATATGAAAGAATGACTCTTAAAGAACTAAATGAAGCTGAAGATGACTTTGATGAGGATGATATGAAAGCTCTTGAAATGTATAGGTACAGTAAGATGTTTCTTGCCATATTCACAGTACATATTGTTATTTAGGATGTTTCACACATATGGGATAAAGAAAAATTCCATCCACAAACTGAAAGGAAGAAAAACTACCTACATAGTTATATATTTGAAAATTAAATAGTCAGCTAAAAATTAATGCTATTAGTTAGAAAAATATTACTTTGCCTTCTGGATGGTATTGGTTTGCAGATAGAGTAAATGTTTTAAAGATATATCCCGGTAATAAAGAAAAATGTATGTGTAGTGTATTTATAATTAAAGATTCAGTGGTACGGTATTTCATTCACACACTGTAATTACTACTTTAGAACCCTTAGCACATACGATTGAGTATTTTTAAAAGATTTTTAATACATCTATTGTTGGTCCCATATATGCAGAACCTTCTTTTTTTGCCCCTTATCTAGTACCCATTCTGTTTGGTTTCCTATTTCTTAATTCAGAAGGATGGCTTTATCTAACTAATAATTTATATATACACAGTATTTATTATGAATGATTATATATAATCTCAAATCCCTGATAAACTATTAATATTATTATACAATGCTTTCTTACATACAGTATGATACAGAATCAATATGTCTAAGCACTTTGGCTTCTGGGTCAGAAAATCATAGAAGCTTACACCCAAGATTTTTAGGGTATAGTCAATTTAGTCATATTGACCCCATGTGTATAGCAAGTATTTTATAGCAATAATTTACAAAGTATACTTTTGCCAAGATCTTTGGGTAGTATTGTGTAATGACTCATAAAAATACAGTGTATGACATTGTCACGAGGTTGCTTGCCCCTTTAAGGGGAATCTGGGCTCAGGTTATCTGCAACAAACTAATTTAAGGAGTCCATCGAGGCAGTTGATTGTATAACAAGTGCTCAGCTCGGTTACAGGGGGGTGCTTACAGAGAGAGAAGCTCTCTCAAGACCATGAGAAAAAATCTCCCAGAGCCCACCACCACAAGGGGGAGGACTGTGTAACCCCTGAAGCCAAAGTAAGAGACGTAATTCACATTTATATTGGGTTTAACAAAGTAGAACCCAAGCAGGGGAATTTTGTCTTACATTCATTTGAACTGTGTGGAATTCTTAAAGGGGCCTGAGAGAAGAGAAACTGAGGCAGGAATTACCTACAACATGACACTAGTTCAGTAGGAGGCATGCCTTGCAACAGACGTATACGAAATAAATGTACCAATGTGATAAAACTATCCACTTGAACTAAAAACCAGAACTGGATTTGAACCATGCCCATTATAGTATACCCCTGTACTGTTAGAACTGCTAAAATAGTAGCAATTTAGAAATACTAGACTGGTGTTGATTTCAAGTGTCTACTGCTATTTTATGATAGAAAGAATTTTAAAAGAATGTTCTCATGAACAGAGTTGTGCACCTAAATTCTTACACATCATGATAAGAATATATTAAACATATTTTGTTTAACACTTTTAAAAAGAAAGTCAGCTGCTGACTTAAAACAATGGCTTTGTTTATTTCAATAAATTTTAATAAAAATTGGCCCTTGGCTGTGAATTTTTCTCACTTTCTACATTGTCATTATTTTTATAGATGAAGACTGCCACCTAGTGCGTTTGCATTCAATTTTTCATTACAAAATTATGCAACAGTAAGGTATTAAACTCTGGGTTACTTTACTTAATACATTATTTTGTTTTCAAAATCATAAAAACATTTTGGCTTTTTTTTAATTTGTGTTGCTTGCCTTGTCTTCACTGCAGTATCAATACAGACATGTAATATGTTTGTTACTTTAACTTTCTTTTCCTTAATATTTTATATCCTTAATGTTCCTTGATTGATGTAAGTACATATAGTTTCTTTCCTATTTTCAAGCATTGTCTCGCTAACTAAATGCCAGCACTGAAGCTTTTTAGCACAAAATTATTCCATTAAAACGTAAAGGCAGTCAGATATAGATTATTAAAAAAATTGGCACCACATTTCAAAAACAGTTGCCACTTTTCCAAAATGTACAACAGTATCTATCTAAAAGCAGTATTGAAGTACTAAAAATTGAAAATCATGGTTGTAATATTTCAACCATAAATGATGGTGGGTTTATTCAAAGGAACTAAGAGATACAAAATTTATATTACTGTAAAATAAATTTTAAAAAATTGTACCAAATAATTTTTATTTCTGAAATAGGCAACAACGGTTGCAGGAATGGAAAATTCTTCAGAAAAGACAAAAGTATGGGGATCTGAGAGAAATTTCTGGTGAGCAATATGTGAAAGAAGTCACAAATGCTCAGAAGGATGTGTGGGTTGTAATTCATCTATATAGATCAAGGTAATGCTATGATTATATTTTTTCAAAACTATTTAAGAATCTAAAACACTTAGCAAAAAAAGATTCAAGATGATGAGATGATAAGAAAGACGATATATGCAAAATAGATTATTATATCATTGTTTACTATATCCCCACTTGGGGGAAAAGAAATCTTAGAAAATAAGATTTCTCCTCTGTTGGTCCTCCTTGCTCCATCAGTGCACTACATAGGATTTCTTCACCTTTGACTCACATAGAGGTAATGCAAAAGATTTTTCTTGCTAGCTACTGTTGGCAGACATGAATTGTGCTGGAGGGCAAAAGTTCATCTGTAGCCCTCCTTCAAGATTCCTCTCTAAGGATTTTGCTGCCTTTTTCTTTCTTTCATTCCCTCCCTCCAACAGATCAGCAGTCTGGTAGGGTGAGGGTCTTTCCTGAAGGACTGAGGAAGGTTGGGGATTGGATTTCCCTAATTTAGCAGTTCTCCAAGGAATTCCGTAGTGGTAGCAGTAATTGCATTAGGATTCAGTGGTAAGATCTAAGGACTCAGATGCTGAGCTCTGTGGGTGGGGGAGTTGTTTTGTTTTTTGTGTTTTTTGTTTTGTTTTTTGAGAGAGGACATGGCTTTTTTTTCTTATTACATTGGGAGGCAGTTTCCACTGTTCATTCAATTGCCATGAAACAAGCCTTCCTTCCAGAATCAAGGATCAGATCAGTCAAATGGAAATCAATGCTTATTAAAAATAGGGTGTGGGACCTTCCATACTGTCATAATGGCAGACTCCTTTTGCCCTAAGCATCCCAGAGGGGGCCCAAGAATCAGTGCTCAGTCCCTGTCTTCTGATCACCCATAACCTTTTCAGTTCATTAGCCACAAGGCTTCAGCAGAAGTTCCCAGTCCAGGGACAGTCTAGGATGTGTTTTTTTTTCTGAATTACAAAGTAAACTATATATCTTATTTATTCTGTCTTAAAAAGAGCGGATCCAGTTCTGGACACCACAAAAAGTTCTCAAGATGAAACTAAGGAAAATAGGAAAAGCAGTCTCCCTCATACACAAATGACTGGAAAAGACAGTGAACTCCAAACGATCCATCCTAGTAAAGAGGAAAGTCATCATTAAGGCTTTCCAAAAGTTATACCAAGTTCAACAAAAGGTCACTAAGTTCTTCTCGATTCACAAGATTAACTTCTTCGTTCCTTCCTCTGAACCAAAACTAGTCACTGTAAAGGAAAAATTCCATCTGTGTGGATGGAATAGGTGCTCCTAAAGACCAGAAGATTGACAGTTTGCTGAAGAGTGGCTTTAAAACTTTCTCCATTGTCTTATGAACATCCCTGGCCTCTGAAATTGCAGCTTGCACAACTGTTTTCATCATTTGCTCATTCCACAGAGAGAGAGACCTTGTAATGATCTGGAGAGAGATTCTAAGTAAAATGAAGTTACATCAAAATAGCATTTATCTTTCTTTATAAAGCAACCTGGGATATTACCAGTTTCTTAGCCAGTTTGTTCCTTTGCAATACCTAGCTTTGTCTTGAATATGGCTTCGGGCCCCAGATACAGATTCTCTCTCTCTTGGCAACCTCATCCAAATGGGATGAGACTATTTTGAGAATCTCTCATGATAATTTAGCATTCTTCAGGCCTAAATAGGATAGGCCAAGATTTTCAACAGTGGTTGGTGATTTAGGTGCCCAAATTGAGACATATTAAAGGAGGCTGTTTCTTTTTCCAGAGGATGGATGCTCAGCACTTTCTAAAAGTCAAGCCCATTTGAGAGATCTCAAGTTGTTGGCTTCAACAATACCAAAGGTACTGGTGCCAGATACATAATATGTAGACAAATATGAGAAAAGAAATGAAAATATGTTTGGGTGTCAGAATTCACTACCATCTGCATTACAAAGGAAGGAAAAAGCCGGGGTGTAAAGGATTCAGAAGAGTACAGTGCACATGCTATTTGAAATTTCAAATTGGTGAAATAGTGAGTAAAATCCATTAGTTTTATTAGAGCTGTCTCAATTCTCATGGAGATGCAGCTGAGGTCTAATGTTCCTGAAGTTCAGATGTATGCCTTATTGTGAAATCTGGAAGATTCATTGGAGCTCCTCTTTTTCTCTGTCAAAATTTCAACAACCAATGTTGAGAATATAAGCATTTGGAAGCAACATAAGGCTTCTATCCAACCTTCTGGTGCCAAGATAATCTTTGTTTTGAAGGCTGGAAGTATGCTAATAGTTTTGCACTGGTAGTTCTGAGTTCACCGTCACCCATCCCAGGCAGTTCTTATGGGTTAAAATACTGCAAGCAGGATTGCTATAGGATAAATTAGAGTTGTGATGTTCCCCTCTGGTGTTTCTGGACCGGTGATCTGCTAGGTCACTCCAATCCTTGACTCTAGGAGCCAGCCTTACCCTGCTCCTCTGTGAGAACCCCCACTCCTGGGCTGTTCACACCTCTGGCATGTAAGCTGCTCCTTGGATTGTGCAACCGAATGATACCAGCCAATATCTCCGGTCCCAGAGACAACCCTAGGAACCTCCGGCTTGCAGTGCCCAGTTATGCTCGCTGGACGCTGCAAGCTTATATGAGTTTGTCAATTTAACAAAGAAATTGATATGTACCAGGCTTGTTATCCCCAAGGGAGTCTCTGACACGCTTCAAACCAAACGCACTGCTTCAGGTAGAATAAATAAACAGATTTATTAACTACAAAGATAAATTTTAAGTGATTATAAGTCACAGCATAACAAGTCAGATTTGGTCAAATGAAATAAAAGCAAAACGCATTCTAAGCTGATCTTAACACTTTCAATGCCCTTACAAATTTAGATGCTTCTCACCACAGGGTGGCTGGTTGCCCTTCAGCCAGGTTCTCCCCTTTGATCAGCGCTTCAGTCGGTTGGTGTGGTGTCTGTAGGTGTAGGTGGAAGAGAGAGAGCGCATGGCAAACATCTCTCCCTTTTATCATGTCCTTTCTTCCCTCTTGGCTTTGTCCCCCACCTCCCTTCAGAGTCAGGTGAGCATTACCTCATCACAGTTCCAAACTGACCAGAGGAAGGGGGGTGACTCCCTCGAGAGATTCTTTTGTTGCTGCCTAGGCCAGCATCCTTTGTTCCTGTGAGGCTGGGCTGGATCTGCCCTGATGAGGTGTGAACTGCCTCTCTGCTCTTGGAGAGTTTTTGCCTGGGCTTATTTTAAGCCATGAGGATACATTTTCAGCCTAACAACTACATACATGAAATTATAACCTATAACATTACTATAACATTACTGTAACAACAATGCTCAGTGTATCATGAGCCTTCCGAAGATACCCAACATGGCAAACTTTGTATTGGATACCACAGTCATTTTACAAGGATGAACATGGGGGTGCTGGGTATTCCGCCAAGGTACAGAGCATCACAATACTTCTTCTTTGAGTGATGTCCCCATGGGCGCTCCACTGTAGGTGCGGCAACACCTTTGTATCTGGAGTCGGAGATCTTCAATAGCAGTGCCTGTCAGACTGCATATGCACACCTCCCCTCCCCCACACTGTGCGTGGGTAGTATAATAGCGCTGTGCGGTCCAACCACCCTCAGTTCCTTCTCTACTGCCGCGGTCTGGAATGGAACAGTTAGCAGACCCACTTAGTTATTTAGATAGTCTCTTGTCTGTTTTTCCCTCTTGTAGTTAGTTAGTTCTTTCATTTTCTTTTCTTCTCCTTCATCCTTAAAAAAAAATAGTTTTTTTGTTTTCCCTAATTCCCGTCAGAGAAGCTACTCCCTCACCCTTATGCCTGGCTCCTCCGGGTGTAAGCGGTGAGTGTCGTGGGGGGCCGCCTTCTCTATAACGAATGGCCACGCACAGTGTATCCGTTGCCTGGGAGAGGAACACATTTCCCAGAAGTTGTTCCCACTGTCTGGGCTTAAAGCCAAGAGCAAGGAAAGACAGGGACCTTAAACTCAAATTATACCTCATGGAAAAGTCCCTGCGACCAGCGTCGGACCCCGGTTCTTACTCCTCACCTGAGACCCCCTCACGCTCAGCAAGGTCATCTGATGACCCCACACTACAGCTGGGATCGACGCTCTGAGATCGATCCACCGGTGGTCGATTTAGCGGGTGTAGTGAAGACCTGCCAAATCGACAACAGATCACTCTCCAGTTGACCCCTGTACTCTACCTCTGACAAGAAGAGTAAGTCGACGGGAGAGTTTCTCTGGTCGACCCCCCGCAGTGTAGACCCTGTGGTAACTCGACCTAAGGTACGTCGACTCCAGCTACATTATTCATATACAGGTTTGACACATCTTACGCGCATTTAACATGCGCGATTTCAACTTTACGCGGTCGGCAAAAAAAAAAAAGGGAGAGAAAAACAACAATTTTAATACTATACCTGTAGTGCGGGCCATTTTGCCCGCCATTGAACTCAATGGGGTTTTGGCTATACGCGGTTTTCGCTTTACGCGCTAACTGCAGAACGGAACCCCCGCGTAAGATGAGACAGCCCTGTAGCTGGAGTTGCATAGCATAGATTGACTTACCGCGGTAGTGTAGACATAGCCTCACTCCCCTCGCCCGAGTAAGAGAAGATCATCCCCTGACCGGGATGACACAAAGAAGAAAGCGGTCCCTCCCTCAGCTCCTGAGGCAGAAACTGCAGGAATGCCGTCCCCAGCTAGATCTGTGGTGCTAACTGCTTCTGACAAGAGGCACAAGGCTGCTCCTAGACTGACTACCTCAGCCCCTGATAGTAAGTCTAAGGACTGTGCCAAGGTAAAACAGCAATCATCGGCATCACTGCCTGTTGTGGGCGACCAAAGCGAGCCCTTTACCTCCTCGGTGGCTCCGGGTCCCTTTCTGGTTCACAGCGATAACCCAAGTAGTCTCAGTCGCCCGAGCATGCCCTCAAATCCGAGCACATACATGTCTCCAGCTTCTGGGACATATGGCTGCAGCTACATTTGTGGTCAAATACGCAAGGCTGCACATGCGGTGTCTTCAGGGCTGGCTCCATACCATATATCTTCCTCACAAACACCACATGCAAAAACTCCTGTCCATGCCAACCCAGGTCAAGGACTCACTACTGTGGTGGACGTGCCCCAACAATGTCTGTGCCAGGGTCGCTTTTCTTCAACCTCCATCTACCATGATACTTACCACCGATGCCTCCCTCCTTGGTTGGGGAGCGCATCTATGCAAGCACATTATACAGGGCAGATGGACGTCCACCGAGTCCACCTTACACATCAACCTCCTGGAACTGAGGGCGGTCCGCAATGCCAACATTTCCTACCACTCCTCAGAAACCGGACTGTTCGAGTAATGACGGACAACCTCGCTTGCATGTATTACATCAACAGGCAAGGAGATGCCAGGTCCCATTCCCTATGTTCAGAAGTGATTAAGCTATGGAATTGGTGTATCCATGATGACATCTCCATCTCTGCTGTGTATCTCCCTGCACATCAGAACATGACAGTGGATACACTGAGAAGAACCTTCTTGCACAAGCACGAAAGGCAGGTTGACATGAGAGCACTCCGACTCATCTTCCGCCAATGGGGTCATCCCACCATAGACCTTTTTGCCACTCATGAGAACACCTGATGTCCTCAGTTTTGTTCCAGACCAGGCCTGGGACGCGATTCAATAGGGGTTGCATTCCTTATGAACTGGAACATGCCACTTCTTTACGCCTTTCCTCCCTTTCTCCTCCTGTTCCAAATCTTATGCAAGATACAGGAAGATCAAGCTCTGGTTATACTAATAGCACCGACATGGCCACGACAAGTCTGTTACACATACCTGCTTCGCATGACACTCTCTCGGCCTATAAACCTTCCCCCAGCATCCTGGCTCCTCTCTTAGGACAGGGGACGCATTCACCATCTCAATCCTCAGATGCTCCACCTGAAATCTTGGCTCCTTTGTGACTCTGGGATTCAGAAATAACCAGTTCAGATTCAGTAAAACATATCTTGATAAATAGCAGGTGCGATTCTACCAGATGAACCCTATTCCCACAAGTGGAACCGGTTCCAACTTTGGTGTGGTGACAGACAGGTCGATGCAGCCTGTCTCCATTACCTGTCATAATGGACTACCTCCTTCAACTCAAACAGCACGGATTGGCTTTTAGTTCTCTTAGAGTGCACCTGGATGCAACTACCACATTACACTGCCTTGTCGAGGGATATTCAGTATTTGTACACCCCCTTGTCAAAAGTTTTCTTAAGGGTGTTCGAAACCTATACCCTCACATATGTCCCTCCACCCTATCCTGGGATCCCAGCCTAGTCCTATGCTCTGTGACTAGACTTCCATTTGAGCCAATGGCAACCTGCTTACTCCTTCATCTAGCAATGAAAACGGCCTTCCTCGTCGCCATTACATTGGCATGACACGTGGGAGAAATATCAGCCCTTATGGGATACCCGGCATATACAGTGTTTTATAGGGACAAAGTGACCCTCCATCCCCACCCAAAATTCCTGCCGAAGGTTATAATGTCCTTCCATCTAAATGAGCCTGTACACCTCCCCTCCTTCATTCCCAACCACACAACAATTACCAAGAAGCAGTTCTCCACACTTTAGATGTGAGATGCGCGTTGTCATTCTACTTGGATAGAACCAAACCGTTCAGGAACTCGCCACGCTTGTTCATATCCATTGCTGAATGCTCTAAAGGCTCCACTATGTCTAAACAATGCTTCTCTAAATGGATTTCCCAGTGCATACGCCTGTCTTACGAACTTCACAATAAGCAACCACCTGCTTCTATCCGGACACACTCCACACGTGTGCTCTCAACCTCCATTGCATTCCCCAATAATGTTTCCATAATAGATATTTGCAGGGTTGCCACATGGGCATCCTCTGATACATTCACCCAACATTATGCCATCTTGCAAGATTCCTTGACGGACACCATTCTCGGACGTAAAGTCCTGTCATTAGCGATACCAGCCGCTCTGAAGCCTCAACTTTCCAGGTAGGAGCACTGCTTTATGGTCACCTACAGTGGAGCACCCATGGGGACATCACTCGAAGAAGAGAGGGTTACTCATCTTGTGCAGTAACTGAGGTTCTTCGAGATGTGTGTCCCCACCAGTGCTCCATTACCTGCCCTCCTCCACTCTGCTTTTGAGCTTAACTTTTGGGCTCTATGTCAGAGAAGGAGCTGAGGGCGGTCGGACCGCACAGCGCTATTTATACTACCCGAGCAAAGTGCGGGGGAGAGGAGGTGTGCATGTGCGGTCTGATGGGCACTGCTATTGAAGATCTCCAACTCCACGCAAAGATGCTGCCGCACCTACAGTGGAGCCCCCAAGTGGGGGACACATCTCAAAGAACCTCAGTTACTGAACAAGGTGAGTAACCCTTTCTTGTGTTACAAAAATCCAGGCATGAAGGCCATGGACCAACATGATGTGGCCATACCACCATACTGAGATTTTCTTTTAAAATTTGACTCTATTTAGAGTTCTTTGAAAAAAACAAACTAAACTATCAAATGTAAAACAATGAAACTGAATATTCAAATAAGAGTAAACATACGTATTAAAATCTCAAATACAAATACTGCATTAAATAGATACAGACCAAGGTTTCTCAGTGGTGAAGGAAAAACAAAACTCAGACACATGGAGCTTATATAGCGGTAATAACCAACAGTATATGTATCATGACATTCATGTAAATATTTTCAGTTTTTATTTCAACAGCCTTTTTCCATAAGACTCCTTGTAGGAGAAGCCAGAGAAGAAATCTGTAGTGGAAGTCCCATTATAGAGCACAGTAGAAGCATACTGACTACATGTAAAAACTCTGTTCTTGAAAGGTTATTTGTATGGATTCTAGTATTTTCTTGCATGTTTCAAACTGTTGTGGCAGAAATTTCATCAAACCTATCCAATTTTTTCTAGCATCCCAATGTGCTTACTAGTTAACCAACATCTCAGCCTGCTAGCCAGAAAGTTTCCAGAAATCAAGTTTATCAAAGCCATTGTGAACAGCTGTATTCAAAACTACCATGACCGATGTTTACCCACAATTTTTGTGTACAGAAATGGTCAGATAAAAGGCAGGTTCATTGGAGTTACTGAATGTGGAGGGACTAATCTTAAACTGGAAGGTAATATAACAAATATGTTCAAAATAATTCTATAGTAATCTAATGTAATTAATAATCATCAATTCTTAAGATCACTTCTTGGGGTAGAACAGTCTGTTATAGTGTTTTTGTACCATAAACAGGAAAAATTAGGAATTAACTGTTAATAGAAGCTTCTGCATTTCTACTGTAGCACAAATATTAGTACATGTTGATAGCTTGCAATGCTATAGATAAGGTAGGTATGGTGGGGATGGCACCTGTGTAACATCTGATCTTTCCTATGGGGGAGGATTTGATCTAAAAAAGGGTATACATTCCCTCTTAAGTGTGAGTCCCCAACCCAGTTCCATGGGACCAGGCTACGCAGGATCCTTTTCCATATACCCCCCGTTCCACACTGGGCTGTGTGACCCTTACTAGGAGAAAGCCTCATTGACTATCTGATGGTCACTTGACAAGCATTTTTGTCTTTTCCTAAACTATCCAAGCTCCATTAATATATATTCTGCAGCTATTGCAACACTATTCTATCTATCTCTATATTGTAGGTACTTACATGGTCCCCATTACCATAATATCTGAGCAAATCACAATCTTTTTAATGTATTTATCCTCACAACACCCATTTGAGATAAGGAAATACTATATTCTCCATTTTGGATGGAAGAGACTGAGGCACAGAAAGACTAAATGACTTGCCCAAGGTCACAAAGGAAGTCTGTGGGAGAGAAGGGTTGTGTTATGTGTGCAATGGATCACTTTTGTGTGGATAAGTCCAGGTTCCTAAAAGCAGAGGGAAAAACAACCTATTGTTTCGATTTCTTGTTCCCGTCCTTAAATATAGTTCTTGGTGTTCTAACAGCACCTCTCTTTGAGACCCTTACGAGAATCTCTGTTTACTTCAACCCAGGCTCATACCCTATGAAGCACATTAGACCTCAGTTATGCAGCAGAGATCCTGGAATTATGCAGCATGGATTCTGTCTCTCATGCAGTTCAATCACTGTAGTGTTTTGTTTAACTTTTTTATGTTAAATTGAATTTTATTTATACTGCCCAAACTGTTAAACTACCCATATGCTGCACATTTTTGAACTGATGAAGATCTCCATTGTAGAACTTGTCAGGGGAAACCTGGAGTTTTTGACAGCTGTGAATGGGACAGTTAGTTCTTAGCTCCCCACAAGGCATGGGAACTAGTTTTGGTTTTGAAGAAGCAGTTGAGGCTTTTGGAACCAGGGAGGGAATGCATCTTTAACTTCCCACTTTTCAGCAGGGGCAGAAGTTACTTTAAGCTTTTGGGGTGGATGGAGCCTTGAAGTCCTTATTCCTCACCCAGCAACTTCCACACCACAGTCTTTAATATCAGCAGCACAAAGGGAAGCAGTTTAAAACATTTCCTCATCATCTTCTGCACCTACAACTTCTATTCCTGAGGGCATTCTGCACCAAAACATTAAAAATTCTGCAAAATTCTGCAAATTGTACTTGTCAAATAAATGTGAGGCTCCAGCATGGCATTGGGAAGCACAGACCACTGTCTCCACAGAGGTGGGAGATCACTGTGCAGCTTTCCCCTGGGACACAAACTCAGCCATGAGGCTGCACCCAGCCCTGACACAGCGCAAGGACTGGGCCTACCTCAGAAACACTCCAAGGCACTGATGCTCCATTTGGGCGGGCAGGCAGGCTCAGCAAGGCAGGATCCAAGTGTAGAGGGGCTTAGTGTGGGGGATCCAGGTGTGGCTTGAGAGGGTTTTGTGTGGGGCAAACTGGGTATGGTTGGCTCAGGTGGGGATCTGGATGCACAGGGGTTTGTTGGGGGGTTCTGGGTGCAACGGTAATGGAACTCTGCAGGGGGGTCCAGGTGAAGGTGGTTGGGCTCAGCGGGTGGTGTCTGGGTGTGGGGGGTATAGAGTTCAGCAGGGGAGTCTGGGTGTGGGGGGCTCAGTGGGGGTCCAGATGCTGGGGGAGTGGGTTGGGGATGCAGGTGTGGGTGGGTTGTAAGGGTGGTCCAGGTGCAGGGGGAATGGGACTCATCAGAGGGGGTTCTGAGTGTAGGGGGTGAGGCTCGGCATGGAGTCTGGGTATGAGGGGGTCTGGATGCATGGCGGTTGGGCGGATGGGGGAGCAGCTCCCTGTATAGGGATCCTTCCCCCTGCAGCTGACAAGCGACAGGTGCAGGAAGTGGGGGTGGGAGGAGTTTGCAGAGCTTCCTGCAGCTGTGGGAGAAATCTGGGGGTGGGTCTGACTCGGCCCTGGATGCCATGCAGAGGAAGAGGAAGAGGAAGTCCTGTCCTCAGCCACGCTGTGGCTAGCAGCTGAGCCTGGCACAGGGTAGGAGCCACCAGCTGGGTTTTCCCCAGTCCCGTCTCCTGCCCCACAGTGATTTACCTCTCTGCCGGCTGCCTTGGGCACCCTAAACATATTGCTGGGGAGGGTCGCATAACCGCTCTTGTGGCTTCCCTTTGATTCCCCATCAGAAAGTCATTTTTATGCAGAGAAGCAAAGAAATCTGCGGGGGACATTCTGCACATGCGCAGTGGCCCAGAATTCCCCCAGGAGTATCTTCTAGTCAATAGATTTGATATGATGCCTGATACTCCAGTCCCAGGCTTGCTTTCTAAACCTTTCCCTTCCCAGTAGGAAGACTACATGGGTCATTTCTTTGCAAAATGGAGTGGAATTACCATGGATCACTGGGTTTTAGAGAGAACCAACCTGGAGAATGTGATTCACTTCCTCTTTGTATTGAATACCAACTTCCATTTCCCCATCCAACTTTAGGGTCATGAGACAAGATATTCTAAAGTGACAAGTGTTTTTTGTGTTCTTTGATTTTTGGGTACACAACTTGGGACATTCTATGTGGGCCTGATTTTCCAAAAGTGCTGAGCCATCCACCCTGTGAAAATTGAACTTATTTAAGGTGTCATGTTAGGCACCTAGAGCGAGGCACCCAGAATCACTTGTCACTTTAAAAGATCGAGTCTCCTGTTCATGACAGGATGCTTAAAGAAGAGATTTTCTTTGTGGCTAGGAATCACAGTAGTGGTACTTTGTTAGTTTCAAGGCAAGGAGTTCTACTCCCACTATTTTCTTATTCCAAAAAGAAAAGGTGGTCTGTGTCCCATCTTGGGCTTGAGAAGACTAAAATATATCAAAAGATTTATTGTCCAGGTAGCAACAGTAGACTCTATCTCTGCCTTATGTGTTCAAAGCTCGTTTGGGTTTCTTGTTTTAAAGAATGCACATCCATATTTCCATCAAGGATGCTTATGAGAAAATAACTTGGTTTATATGCAACAAGCAATCATGTTCACTACAGCTCTTTAGAAGGACACTGTCAGTTTGAGTCACATATGAACAAGTACGTTAAGATGGACACTTCAGCTACTCAGGCACACATGAATGGGGTTAAAAAACTGATTCTTTATTCACAATAGCCATATTCAGTTTGCTGCATGCCTGCTACTGTAACGGATAGACTGGAGTAGTGGCTGTATGCTACTGTTTTCCCTTTATACACATTTGTAGAGATTTTTCACAGTTCATGAACCCACAGGCCATGCCCCTGTCCCACCACTACTATCCTGCTAATACCCTTCACTTCCAGAAAATGAGCTATTGTAGAGCTTGGCTTTGTGGCTTGTGGAGGCCTGTGAAATCATGCTGTGTGCCCTCTATGTATCCAAGCCCCACTGTGAAGCATAATTGTGGTGGTTCTGCTGTGTTGTGTGTTCTCTATAGCTCTCAAGATTTTGCCCTATACTTGTGCAAAAACTGTTGGTGGAAACATTTCAGTTTTTCTAAAAATCTGTATTAACAATTTATCCACAATTCAAGTAAATCTCAATTTGGATAGAGTTACTGAGAAGCTATATTGGATTGCCAGGACTAAAATCTTTTACACGATTTGTTTGCTGCACTAATAACGTTTTTAATACTGGATGTTCTGTGCCTGACTACATTTCAGATTTGCGCTCAGTAGAATTGTTGGTTTGTAAGAAATGACAAAATAGGAAAATTTTTAGTTTCTTGGCCAATCCTTGATCGATCTTCCATTGAATGGAAGGGTTAAATGATGTCCTGGAGTAATCCAGTTTGGACAAGGGCTATTTTCTAAACAACTGTACTAATATAGACTGTCACTCCAGCAAGGTTCTATCATAGTTTAACATCGCTTTTAATAGTTGGATGTAGACACACACCAACTCTCTCTGTGCTCTAAACAAGGAGTAAATCAATGGAACTATAAATGTAAAGTTGGTGGAAGACAAGAATCAAGCCCACAAATCCTGTTACAATAGTGTGTTTGAAAGGGATCTTCTTTGGCTATCCCTCAATGCGAGGATGATGTCTGCCAAGGGGGTTCATTGGTGAGTTTTTAAGTGGCTGGGGAGACCAATCCTTGCCCTGCAGATTTTCCCACAGAAGTGACAGGTGTAATCTTGGAGGAGACATAGTTGTTGGCTGAAGTGTTGTGCCCTTTCTTTCCTTCACTGTCACTTCTCTGTCTCATGAGCACATCAGTTCTCCTCAAAGTGAGCTGTGGCTTGGTGTATGGTGTGGCGTCGCTGTGTTCTGTTCTGCGCCAAGTCCTCCCAGTTTGTTGGGTTGATGCCTCCCTTTTTAAGATATACTTTCAGTATGTCTTTGAAACGCTTCTGCTGCCTTCTGCAAGCCCTTCTTCCCTGACTTAACTGAGGGAAGAGTACTTGCTTCGGGAGGCGAGTGTCAGGCATACGTACACAGTGGCCAGTTCAGCAGAGTTGGTATTTCATAACCTGCGCTTCTATACCGCTGATGTTGGCTGCAGAGAGAACGCTGATGTTAGTGCATTGGTCTTCCCAGCTGATCCTGAGAATCCTTCTGAGGCAGCACTGCTGGAACCACTCCAGCCGCTTGAGATGTCATCTGTAGGTTACCCAGGTCTCACACCCACAGAGAAGGGTGGGGATGACAACTGCCTTGTAAACCAAGATCTTTGTACCTGTTTGTAGATCCCTATCATTGAAGACTTGTTTGAGTAGTCTTCTAACAGATGTGCTGGCACAGTGGATCCTGTATTCAATTTCTGTGTCAATGCTGGCTATTTGGGAGAGGTGGCTGCCAAGGTACGGAAAATAGTCCACATTTTCCAGGGGTTCTCTGCTGACGGTGATTTGTGGAGTTCGAAGAGTAGTTTGTGCAGGTGAGGGCTGGTAGAGTACCTTTGGTTTTCCCAATGTTGAGAGAAAGGCATCTGCAAAAAGATTTAGGGACAAGAATCAAGCTCAACAATCCTGTTACAATAATAACTGTGTTTGAAAAGGATATCTAGGTGGTAGAATGCCTTTTTCACAGTAGAGCTTCTATTTTAAGAGAAAACAAAAAGACTCAAAAGGCCTATAGGTACCCAACTCCATATAATAGCTACTTTTAAAAAGGTGTTACATGTATGTTTCACTTCTTATAATTCATCTAATCTCTTTTTTGATTGTCTGCTTTGAAAATTCAATTACCAGTCCGGTACATTGGTACCTGTTAAAAAGCTTTTAACAATTTGCAAATTGTATGTATGAATGCATTTTATTACAGTATCTTATTTTTTTCAATTCTCTGTTTTAAGTCATTATTTGTTGTTACAGAGCTTGAATGGAAGTTAGCACAAGTTGGAGCAATAGAAACTGACTTAGAAGAAAGCCCTAAACAAAACATTACAGATATGATGATGTCTTCAGTTAGAAGTGCTTCTATTCATGACACCAACAGTGCTAGTAGGGACAATGATGAGACCAAATGTTACTCACATAGGAATTTTTAATGGTAGTACTCTGCACTGATGTTTTTATGTTTAGTCAACATATGCATGTTTATTACTGGTTTCATAAATCTGAAGCAATGCAGAGATTTGTTTTCTATTTATACTTGCAGTTTAAACTTCTAGAAAATAATTAATCTACTGTCTAAAGGCCAAATTCTACCCTTGGATATACACACATGGCTCATATTGAACTGGAAGGGCCTTGATTCTCCACTTCATCTAAGTTCCACTCAACTGGAATGGAGAGGTGGGGTCACAGGGAGCTAACCGTTGCTTTCTGATTCAGGGCTGCCCAGCATCAGTGCAAGATGGGATGCACAGGGGTAATACTAACTAATGTCACTGGTTAACGATTGAGTGTAGCTGAACTCCACTCTGCCAAACCTCTTCCCCATTTCTCCCATCAAGAATCTGGCCCAAAGGATATTATAGGCACACCCATCTAGGAGCAGGATTTAGCCCTTAATCTAGGAGCAGGATTTAGCCCTTAATGCAGTTTATTAGTACCTGAGAATTGCATTTATTAATCTTCTCCAATGTCAAGGATAATTCTCCAACTGTTTCTAATATTGACAATTAGTCTCAGTTTTCTTGAAGAGAAACTGATGCTTACTTCAGAGTAGTGCAGTACAGTCATGGATGAACAAAGCCTAAAGTTATGGATGTAAATGAGGGGAAACGTCCTAATTCAGCATTATTAGTTATGTGGCTATATTTCAGATAATAATATAATAATGTACTTTCATCATGCTGGCCTCATGTCCTCAACTGAAAAAGTCTCACTGCACTAATGAAAACTTCCCTATATAGAGTCTACTCAGGGCATGTCTACACTTAAAACGCTGGATCAGCACAGCTTCACCAATGCAGCTGTGCTGCTGAAGAGCTTTAATGAAGATGCTCTAAGCCGACAGGAGAGCACTCTCCTGTCGTCTTAGTTAATCCACCTCCCTGAGAGGTGGGTTAGGTCGGTATAACTATGTCACTCGGGGATGTGGACCAATATAGGTCTGTAGCGTAAACCTAAGATGGTTCATGGACTATATATGCAAAAACATCCAGCATTCAGTTCACATTTAGCACATGTATGATTGTACAGCTATATGACTGAGCAAAAACATAACAGGGTGGGCGGCTTCCTACTAGCCATTTCCTAAAGATTAATAGATTCAAGAATCCAATAATTGTTTTGCTCATAGTAATCTAAGTAATTTTACACTGGGTCTGCTCATACATTCCATGCACTGCAGCTCATAGTACTTTCAATGCAAGCAACTAAGAACTGTCCATTGGCACCTGGAGTATTACTGCCTTATCTCACTCACACCAGGGTAGGAGTACTTGTGGCACCGTGGAGACTAACACATTTATTTGAGCATAAGCTTTCGTGGGCTACAGCCCACTTCATCAGATGCATAGAATGGAACATATAGTAAGCAGATATATATACATACAGAGAACAGTGGGAGCTGGGATGGGGAGGTGCCTGCAGGCAAGAGCTGCGCGGAACTGCTTGCGCGCCTCCTCCTAGGAGCCAGACCTGCTGCTGGCCACTTCCAGGGTGCAGAGCGGCTTGCGATGTCAGGACAGGCAGGAAGCCTGCCTCTACACCCCGGCTGCACCGCTGACCATGCTGCAACCCCGTGCCCCAATCCCCTGCCCCAGCCCTGAGCCCCCCCCACCCGGAACCCCTTCCTGCACCCCAAGCGCCCATCCCACCCCACCCCAGAGCCTGCACCCCCAGCCCAGAGCCCTCATCCCCTCCCGCACCTCAATCCCCTGCCCAAGCCCAGAGCCCCATCCTATACCCTGAACCCCGATTTCCTGGCCCCACCCCACAGTCCTCACCCCCACACCCCAACCCTCTGCCCCAGCCCTGAGCCCCTACCACACCCAAACCCCTCATCCCCAGCTCCGTTGGGTCATGGGCATCAACAATTTTCTTCAGCTGGGTCCCCAGAAAAAAAGTTTGAAATCCACTGATTTAGATGATGACTGACTGAGTTGAACTGTCTTTCATCAACTCTACCTTCAGTTCTTTCCAGAAAAGTGTTTTTCAATTTCCTTTGGAATTGGTCTCCAAGATGACTACTGTATTCCTCCTGAACTAACCCATCACCACGTTGATGTTGGTGAAACATCCTTTGTGATCCCCCAATGCTTGCAGCACCATTGAAAAATACCCTTTGCGGTTTATGTACTGGCTGCCCTGGTGCTCCGGTGCCAAGATAGGGATATGGGTTCCATCTATCGCCCCAACACAGTTAGGGAATCCCATTGCAGCAAAGCCATCCACTATGACCTGCACATTTCCCAGAGTCACTACCTTTGGTAGCAGCAGCTCAGTGATTGCTTTGGCTACTTGCATCACTGCAGCCCCCACAGTAGATTTGCCCACTCCAAATTGATTCCCGACTGACCGGTAGCTGTCTGGCGTTGCAAGCTTCCACAGGGCTATCACCACTCGCTTCTCAACTGTGAGGGCTGCTCTCATCTTGATATTCTGGCACTTCAGGGCAGGGGAAAGCAAGTCACACAGTTCCAAGAAAGTGCCCTTACGCATGCAAAAGTTTCGCAGCCACTGAGAATCATCTCACACCTGCAACACTATGCGGTCCCACCAGTCTGTGCTTGTTTCCCGGGCCCAGAATCGGCGTTCCACGGCTAGAACCTGCCCCATTAACAACATGATCTCCAAAGCGCCGGGGCTCACGGTTTGAGAGAATTCTGTGTCCATGTCCATGTCCTCATCACTCTCGATGCTGCGCTGCAGTCGCAGCCTCCTCCTCGCCTGTTTTTTCAGGTTCTGGTTCAGCATAAACTGCACGATAATGCACGAGGTGTTTACAATGTTCATGACTGCTGTCTTGAGCTGAGCAGGCTCCATGCTTGCCGTGGTATGGCGTCTGCAGGGTTCACCCAGGAAAAAAGGCGCGAAACGGTTGTCTGCCATTGCTTTCATGGAGGGAGAGGTGAGGCTGTACCCAGAACCACCAGCCACAATGTTCCCAGGCATTGGGATCTCAACCCAGAATTCCAATGAGTGGGGGAGACTGCGGAAACTATGGGATAGCTACCCACAGTGCAACGCTCCAGAAGTCTACGCTAGCCTCGGTACATGGACGCACACCGCCAAATTAATGTGCTTAGTGTGGCCGCATGCACTCGACTTTATACAATTGGTTGCCAAAAATTGAATTCTGTAAATTTGGAGTAATCCCGTAGTGTAGACATACCCTTAGATGAGGAACATATTTTCAGCAAAGTTCTTGGCAGATTCCTGAGGCAGCTGGCTGATTTAAGGCTGTCAGTGTCTGGCATTATAATCTTCACTTATAGTTCTTTCACCCACAAAGCTGGAAAATGAGGCATTTGGTTTTTTTTGTTTTGCTGCTCCAGTTCCAGTTAACAAAATGCATGTTAGACTAGTTTGTCTGCAAAGAAGAATTCTAGGTACACTGGGGACAACACCTGATTCCATTCAGGCTGCAGAACTGGGCTGACATCAAAATCCAAACAGCCTCTGGTCAATGCAAGCAGAGGCATTTCTCTGATGATGTGGATTTGATGTGATGCAGTATGGATGTCATGGATAATTCAGACCAATGGGGAGAGAAAGAATCAAAAACACTGTTTAAACACCTTCTGTCCCCCCTTGAGGACTCCTGACCAATGTAATAGCACAATACATATGCTAACAAACTTAAACAAAGCCTTTGTTTAATTTTGTTGGCATATGTATTGTGCTGTTAAAGCCTTATAAAGAATGAATGTCCTCCCTACCTGTGTTCTGCTCTTTTAAGGAGTAGAGTGCAGCCTCTCCCCGCAGAGGGGTGGGGGGCAAGTCTTTCCGATACCCTGTACCTGCTAAAAATCTCTTGCTGGTACTGTGTACTGGAGTACCATCCTACTTGCATCCCTGGTTGTGCCAGCCAGTGTAGCTCAGCTGGTGGGACCTTCTCACAGCAGTGCCTGAGTGATCATGCATCCCTCCAAACATTCTGAGGACAAGGCTATACAAGGGAATATGGAACCCTCTGCCACCTCAGTTCCTTACATTGCTCCCCCAGTCAAGATTAGGCACCGTAGGAAGGTGGCCAGGAGTTTAAATAGGCAGAGTCCATCTCAAAGAACTCCAGTTCCAGCTAAGTAGCCTTCATTTGGGTGGTGAAGATTCCAGGAGTCAGGTGCATGGAGTTCAATTCCCTACTCTGCCACAGACTTCCTGATTGTGGCAGAGCAAGTTGCTTAGGCCTCAGCCGAGACACAGAAATTGTATTGGTGCACTCAAAACAGTACAACTCCCTGCTGCTTCCCACCATGCACCTAGTTATATCTGTCTAAAGTTACTTTATATTGATGTAGTTATTCTGTAGGGGGAAACAATCACCTGCAATATAGAGCACCTTTATATGAGTTATAAGTGGGCAGAGTAACTGTGCGATCAACTCAATAAAAAACTCCTCTCCTTGCTGAGCATGCGCAGCCTCCTAACCGGCGCAGATTGTGATTTTTTCCCCTTCGACGACTACTCCCTGCAGTGGCGCTGCGCGCTCGGGGCCTGCGCAGATTGGACTCTGGCTGTCGTTTGCACCTCTGTATAACATGAGGCTCGTTTCCCAGGGGTGATGCGAGGGGAGGTTCATGAACGGTAGCGAAGCACCCAGCTAGCACAGGGAGGGCGGCGTATGAGACAGGACTGCAGTGACCGGCTAAGGGCTTTTAAGTGGCTCTACGCCGTCCCCAAGCATCCAGCGGCTCCCTCGGCTTGTGCGACGTCTCCCTTTCCTCCTCCCACCGAGGTGCGCGCAGCTGCTGAGGCGCTGGGAGGCGGCGGGGATTTTACCAAACTGCCGGGGGTCCAGACCTGGGCAGTCCCTGAGGCAGGGTTAACAATAAGGTCACGGCTCAGAGACTCTGTGCTCAGACCCCCAGCCCCAGGGTCTCCCGCACTCGCTGCCTCAGGAGCCGTAGGTGTGGGGCGGCCGGGGGACCCGCCCCTAAAGGAGCTAATGGTGCTGGGCAGGGCGATGTAACTGCTTTGGGACCCGCTCGGGCGCTCCCCACCCGCGAAGGCGCAGGGGTGAGCCCGCAGCCACTGCCTCTGTAGCCGCGCCGGCCCGCTCAGCCCGGCGGAAAGGCGCCATTTTCTCCTCACAGAGCCACCCGCGTCTCTCCCGGGGTGATCTGAGGTCAGGGAGCCCGGGTCCCGCTACGCAGGCTGCGAGCGCGTACGTAGCTGCTCTCCGCGCCGCAGCTGGGCGGCACTAGCCGCGGTGGGAGGCTGCGCATGCCCCTTAGCGGCCAAGGCAAATCACGGGCCCAGCCGCGGCTTCCTGGCGCACGCGCACTGGCGCGGGGCTTAGCCAGTCTGGTGGCTGCTGTTGCCGGTAGGCTCTGGCGGCGCATGCGCAGTGCTGGCGGTGAGGGAATCACAGGCCTGGCTGCTGCTGGAGGAGGATCTGGGCTGTCGGTGGGTTTGGGACTAAGCGCAGGAAGCGGCTTCGCACACTGCGAGGAGCCCGGGGTGGCCAGGCGGCGTGGGGAGCCGGGTAAGGTGCGCGCTGCAAGGACAGGCGGGGCGGCTGTGGCCGGGCGGGGTCCCCCAGATCCCGGGCGGGGGATTGGGGAGCCATTAAAGTTCGACAGTCCTGGCGGGGGTCCCGTCTCCAGGGCAGCGGCGGGGGGTGGGCAGGGACTGCCCTTGGGGGCGGGCGCGGGCTGGGGCTGCGGCTCCCGGCGGGGCGGGGGCTGTTCTATAAGGGACCCGCTAGGCCTTGTGACCCACTTTACTCCTGTCACAACTCCCAGCACGTTTGGAGCCCTGCCCGGCTGGCCCGGCGCCCGGCCGGGCTGCGCCTGCTCTCGCCGCCCCCGGGGCGGGGGTGGGACCCTCGGAGCCGCCAGCTCCCCACCTGCCCGCGGCGCGGGTTGGAACTGGCGCTGCGGCGGGGACCCTGTTTGTTTTCTTTCTCGCGCCTGGAGCCGTAGGCGGCGTCTCGTCCGGTCTGTGCAGCCGGGAGCGGCGCTCCCCGCCCGCACTGCCCCCGCTGTCAGAGGGGCTCTCCCGGCTGCCCGAGCTGGTTGTGTACCGCCTGGTCTGCGCCTCGCGGTTACCCTGCCGGCTCGGAGCCGAGCGTGTCCGCCGCAGCCGTAGCGCCAGGAGCGGTCCTGTCTGCGGAACAGGGTGGGCAGTACAACCAGGCGGCGGGCTGCTGGCGGGGTGCTACCCCGTGGCCTGTCGTTGGCAGGGCTGGGTGTTCTTAGTGTCACTGTTAAATTGCAATGAAATTCAGTGGCGTGAGAAGTTACAGGACAACTGACGTTTGCAACTCGTCAATCCAGTCCTGGAAACCAATAGTCCTGCTGACCTGCAGGAAGGTTTATAAACTTAGACATGTCCCTTTCATAGGGCCCCAAGGCGTTCACTTGCCTGAATCAGCTTGCAGGATCTATCTCTAAATCCCCAAATGATTCACATCATTAGTAATTATAATAGTTAATGCTTGTACAGCGATTTCAGTATAGGAATAGTTGCTTAAATCCTGTTATAGAAAAGAGACTGAAGTTAAGGGTACAGTGAAAAATTTGTTGCATGAATGCATTTTACTTTGTTACAGAAAAACATAAAAACACTTTTTCAGCATGGTGTCTAAGCAGTATTTATTAATAACACCTTAAGTTATTAAAAGTGAAGATTTTACAAATATATTCCCCAGTCCTGCTGGCACTTATGTACATGCCTAACTTCAAGCATGTAAGTAGCCTATCTGATTTTAGTAGAATGGCATGCATACAATTAAGCATGTGCATGTAGGATTGGGATCCTAATTTACTTGGCATTCTTTTTGTGTTTCTCTCAACCTGGAAATTGAAACTCAGTGAAGTTTATAGTCAGTTTAATTTTCATAATTAATGGAGATATCCCATCTCCTAGAACTGGAAGGGACCTTGAAAGGTCATTGAGTCCAGCCCCCTGCCTTCACTAGCAGGACCAAGTACTGATTTTGCCCCAGATCCCTAAGTGGCCCCCTCAAGGATTGAACTCACAACCCTGGGTTTAACAGGCCAATGCTCAAATCACTGAGCTATCCCTCATTTCAGGTTCTCATTGTTCCCTTATTGGAGTTTTAAAAACAGTAAGGAGAATGTTTGTTTAAAAGCTATTTTGATTGGAGGTTTTTGTTTAATAGTTGAAACATTTTGTTTTTCTGAGGTCTCTTAGCATTATGGAGATTCCAAGAAAAATAACATGTGTGTCTCAAATATATTTATTTTATAATACCAGGTGTCCTTGTTAAAGTGTGACTATTGTGCATCTTGGAGTTGGTCTTAAACTGTTGAGAAACTTGTTGAAAGAGAAACAATCACACACCCTAGTAGTGCAATATTTTCCTGAAAAAATTTACTTTGCATTATTACAGAATAGCATGAACAAAAAATTTAATTTTCAGGCTTAAAATTTTAACAGCCAGGCTCAAACATTATACAGCTGCTTCTCACTTATTGCTTGTTTCAATTTCTTTACATCTTCACATAAAGAAGGATGAATGTTTTCTTTGAACTCTTTCATTTTATGCATATTTGTGTTTTACTTTTTGTAAATTGTTTCATTTACATTTTTAGGACTACTTAAATTAGCCACCAGAAGGAGTGTAACATAATTTAAGACTGTCAAAGAGTGGTTATTTGGCCATACAGTTGTAGGCTGATCTCCCTGTGAAGTGCCTCATTGAGGTCAGTGGGGCTTCATACCAGCGTCCACCTGTGAATGACAAGTTACAGGTTGAACTCAATGGGAGGGAGGTTCCTTTGCTAATAGGTGATTACTGTAGTTATAATGATTGAGGCTCCAGGGGCTGTGAGGATCTTCAAGTTTCCTCTGATCTGGCTGCCCTCTCTGAATGTCAAGTGTTTATTTTTGGATTGTTTAATCAGATTCTTCTTCTTGATTGTATGGCACTAATATATATTTTTCTCTCCACGATCTTTTCCATTTTGTTTTTTCACGTATTTAAGTCCCCTTTTTGCTCCCTCCTGTTACCTCCCATGCTGGAAATTTCCTTCCTATTCCTTTAGAATATGTACTGGGAAGCAACACTCTGCCCCTGGGTTATATAACTTTTGCTACTTTGATATTCTAGAACTGTATGCTGCTCAGGAAAATTTGCAACTTCTCATTTATTCGCAAAGTGACTTTATATTTCATCTGGTATATTTTAACAAGGATGGTTCTGATAATTAAATATGTCTCCTGCAATATAAAGGGTTTTAATACTACAAAGAAAAAAGTATACTCAGTGCTTTAAAAAAAAATGTTGACATTCCCATGTTCCAGGACACACCTTTGACAGAATTTGAAGCTTGTAATCTGAATAGAGATTGCGTATGCCTCTCAATTTCTAGTTGCTTTAATTCTTAAGCGAGGGGCATTGGTATACTAATACATAAAAAGTTGAATTTTAATATTCTGAGCACAGCATCTGACACTGAGGGCAGATTTACTATCCTCAAGGCTGAAATTGACAATTCTAAAATCATGTTTGCCAATAGGTACTGGGCAACCTGGGATGATCCAGTTTTGTCGTAATTTTTTTATGAGTATAAATGACATGGGCAACCATCCTGTTATAGCTGGAGCCTTTAACAAAACTCTAGACCAGCCCTTGATAAATCTTCTCCCTCTCTATATAAAAACATGAATACTCATGTATTTCATACATACATAGAAGATTTAGGCTTAAAAAAATGTGTGGAGATTGGGTAATGTTATGACCAGGGTCTATATCTTTTTTTTTTTTTTTCTGCAGCTCATTCAATGTATTCAAGATTGGACTGTTTCTTAGTGTCACAAAACTTGATCAATTCTGTCACTGATTATGCCATTGGTACTATTGTTATATCTGACCATGCTCCTATACATATGTCTTTTAGGCCCCCAGGGTATGCACCCCCGACTGAAATGTGAAGATTAAATACCTCTCTGCTGTTTGATACATCATTTGTTAACTCTGTCCAGCAAGAGTTGGAACTTTTCTTTAAAACAGATGCCTCCATCGCTTCATCAGTTGTCACACTTTGGGAAGCCTTTAAAACCTTCATCAAAGGCCATATAATCTTTTATGCCACATTTAAAAAGAAACACAGAGAACATAGAATTGATACCCTTGTGAAGGAAATTAAGGCCTTGGATGTAGACTGTGCTTCTAATTGCTCCCCAGAGAAACTCTGAATTCTCATCAATTTAAAATATGAAATCAATAAGCTTCTGTCTCAAAAGGCTGAGTTTGCTTTATTCTTTTTGAAACAAAACTACTGGGAATCTGGCGAGAGAGACAGCCTCAAGCAAAAGGCTAACAGAAATAAGATTGCAACTATCGCGAATAGCAGCAATAAATTATATACAACAGTCAGATATTAATAAACAGTTTCAACAATTTTATTCAAAACTATTTAGCTGAAGAGGGAATCACTAAAGATGCCCTAGATAACTTTTTTAGTGGATTGTCTCTGCCACAAATCTCTGACTCTGATGGAACTTTTAGACGCCCGTTTAGAAATCACACAACTGACTCAGGGTATAAAAATATGATGGTCAGAAAGACTCCTGGTACAGATGGGTTCCCAGTTGAATTTACAAAAAGTTCTCTGAAACTTTAACACCTAGGTTATTGAATATGTCCAATGAGACCAAGAATGAGCAAACTCTTCTGCCTACTCTATGAGAAGCTGTAATTTCAGTTATTCCTAAACCTGGGACAGATCTTGAACTATGTAATAATTACAAGACAATTTTTTAAAGCAATTGTGATGCTAAGATTTTAGCTAAAGCTCTTGCTATGTGATTGGACAAAGTTCTCTCTCACATTCTACACACAAATCCGGTAGGCTTTCTTCATAATAGACATGGCTCAGATAACTTGTGTCAACTTATATTATTGCCACTTCAAAAAATTCTAAAGAACTCTTAGCTGTAATTTCTTTAGATGCTGTAAAGGTCTTAGTCCTAGGCTATGCGGGCAATTTTTTGTGTGTGTTAGCAAAATTTGGATTTGGTAAACAATATATTGCTTGGATTAAGCTCTTATACTTTAACCTGACTTCTAGGGTAGTTATCAATGGTATTATTTACACCCCATTTTCATTACAGAGAGATAAGAGACAGGGCTGCCCACTTTCTCCTCTTCTGTTTGATTTAGCTCTAGAACCTTTAGCCTTTGCCAAATGAGCAAATAAACATTCATAGTATCAGGGTGGCCCAAACGGAGAATAAAATTGTGTTCTATGCAGATGATATGTATTTGTATATGTGTTCCAGGTTACCATTCCTAACCTTCTAACTACTGGTAATAAGTTTGGACACCTCTCAGGATATAAAATTAATTGGGATAAATCAGAAATCTTAGACATTAACAATATACCCACAAAGGCCTGTTCTCAAATTGGGACTTTCAGGGCAATCCTCTTATCTGAAATATTTAGGAATACTGATTCACAAAAATATTCAGGGCATCCCTAAGATAAATATAGAACCAGTTGTTGCCCAAGTGGC